CAAACATATAACTAAACCATAGCTACATTAACTTTTTTTGCACCTTGTCCTTGAAAATAATGGCAATCAACACCTTGCTACAATGTGAACTAAACACAGTAGAAAATTTGATTCTGAAAAATATAGGTCAACTGTTCAAGCTTGAAAATAAGCTTATTATCCAACATCTAGTGCGTCTGACACATAGTGTCTTACTTGACCTTTCATTTTCTACTAGATTATAGTGAGACAGTGTATGGTATTTAGGGCAAACTTAGAAAAGCCACAGTTTTGGGTTGAGGGACAGAGTTATACCGTACGGTATGTCATATTTTATGATCTTAAAGCTCTGCTACTCACTGTTGTCACAAACAGGCTGTGTGTTATTTGATTGCTATCTGCAACCTAACTGCCAATAACATGCTTAAAAACACAAAGCCATGTTGTGAATGATATCAATCGTAATGTAAAGGAAAAGAACTACATGTCTAGCATATCTTAGATAAGGCCACACCAAGTAAATTTTATGGATGACGTCCTTTGGAGACCCTAAATCTAATGCGAGAGGGCGAAAAAAAAACAAGAATGGCCCTAAAAAACAAGATGCCTAGATAAGAAATATTGCACTGCTGACAGGACCGTCCTGTCTGTTAATAGTTCCAAAAACGGCACTGTTTTGGAATTATTGACAGGATTTTTTTCAGTGCCATTTTGTTTGTTTTTTCATTTTTGTTTTCATTTTTTCATTTTTTCAACCAGGCAAAGGCTTTCGGCGTTACGGGTTTCACGTCAATCTGACGATTTGCGGCACTGTCGTGACTCTTTGGTCATAGTTACAGGAAGCGGAATTTCTTGGGTTTTTTTCTAGGAACAGGCTAAAATCAATGCGCGCGCGGACGTCATCCATAAAATTTACTTGGTGTGGCCTAAGTTAGAAATGAAGCACTATTTATGTTAACTTGCCTACAGTGGCCTCCTACCAATTCCTGCACGGAGAGACGGCTACAGAAAGTAGCCTTTATTCACCGGTAGTCAAAAGAAGTTCAACTACTGTTATACAAGCTTAAGGTAAAGCTTCCTGAGGATTAGCTTTAAATAGGTAGGAAAGCAGACATTTGACAGTAAGCACTTTGGAATAGGCCAGTGCATCAGATAAGGAAAGTAAATGGGCACCCACATGTGTTAAATAGGCAAAAGTACAATTACAACAGACCAGGGGTCATGCCTACTGCTGCTGGGCACTTCCAAACATGGGAAATAATTAAAATAATATGTGAAGCTTGTAGCACAGAGACTTTTACATGAGCTAACAGCTGAGGATGTTGTGTGGTTTGGGGTTCGTGTCCTAGAAAAGGACACTGTGCAAAGAACGAAGCTGTCCTCATTAAGTGTGTGGCTACTGGTATTTGATGCGCTGAAGTATCCCGGCAACATGCAACATGGCTGTTGCTAACTATTAACCAACTGGTGTAGAGGGCAATGCTCGGGTCAACCAACCTGATGGCCTCTCCAACTAACATTGCTCAGTACACTCATTTGCAGTGTCATCTATACTCTTTGATAAACATTAACAAAACATTTATTACAGCTGATGACAGCTTATCTTCGGGACAAACTCACCTGTCAACAAATTGACCAGGTCTAATACAGCAGGGGGAGTGACCCTTTTAAGGGCAGGCCGTGGCCATACGGAACAAAGCAAACGGAAACTATAAATACTAAAATAACACAGTAGGAATTCCTCTTGCATATATATAAGTAATGACCTTTAAGAATAGGTTGATGAGTTCATAATTCAGGCCATTTTGTATCATGATCAGAACAGTCTTTAGGCATGTCAAAACATCTGACCCTCCAACTCAAAACCTACATGGATACATAAAAAAGGGAATTCTACTTTAAAGAGGACCTCCTTCCATAGTCTAGATTACTACTAGGTCTTAGAACATTATGTGTCACAATAAACTGCATCTCCAAGCTTTGTCCAAAATTAATCAGCATCTAACGAGATAATACCGGTACCACACAGGAATTGCAGACAAACTAATGAATGGGCATAGTCCAGTTAGAAACAACAACTTAACTCCTCACAGCCGGTATATTGAAAGGACGCCAAGCATAAATTTCCAGTACATTTTTGGCAGGTGTAAAGTTTCCATTTGAACCAGCATGAATTCTTCTGACAGTTTCCACTAGTTCATAAGGTTACAAGTAAAATTGAATCTGTTTTCTTGCTGTCTAAGTGTCTTAAACATTAAAGGGGGAAAGGTTTTGTGTCGTGGTGTGTGTGAGAATATTTTTTAAGCGTAGACTTCAATGTCTTTGTGCTTATATTCACAACAACAGTTGACATTCTATCCACGTTGGGAACCTACCTGTTCCTGTGCGGCATAGTCTGGTGAGTTCTGATCCACAGACCAGTAGGAATAGTCGAAAACAAAATGTTTCAGCCTATCCCGCGTGTCTCCGTAGCCTTCCTGGGTGCCATCCAGCTGAAAGGAGAAAGGGGGGACAAAAGGAGGTACAAATGTAAACACGACCTGCACCCTGTGCTGTTGTACTTTCTTCAAGCCACCCAGGAAGTCTTAAACCTAAAGGTTGCGTACAAATTATGAACTGCAGCCGTTCATACACTGTAGTATGTCAGGTATGCCAAGGCACTGGCGAACTAAGAAGAAAGGATTGTACAATAACATTTTGTTCATCTCACTGTAGTTAGTAATATAAGATGGTACCAGTGTTTTGGGCTATGTCTACGATATACTTGTCATGTGTGGATGTCTAACTTCCAAAGTGTTTTAGATGTCCTTGGTCCAAGATAAGGGTATTTTTGTCACCCACTTTGCATTGAGATTCAAATGAGGGGGAGCTTTCCACTTGTTGGGCCGATGGAGCAGAAAAGTCGTGCTTTTTCCACACAGTCTCCACTTGTTGCTACAAAGGGGAGCATGCACCCACATGCAAATGGCACAGTTTTTACAGTACCCATACATATGTACACATGCTGGGTTTGGAAGGCATGCCAGCTAACGCCCCTTCCAAAAACAATAAAGCACAAAGTCCAGGCTTTCTTCTGTAGCTGCTTGTTGTGCTGAATTCTCATAATTAAGCCGTACCTTGATGTTGGTAACCGACGTCGTGTTTTCGTTGATCTGTATAATAAACTGTGCCCTGGCATCAAGTTCCCTACAAAGGACCAAAGAAAATATGTTAATGCACTTATGAATAAAAGGTAATACGGTGGAGCCTTCCCCAAAGTTGACCTTGGACCTGTGTAGTTAATCTGATGACGACGACCATTGTCGGCTGTGTTACCCAGGTAAAACATGGTATATGAGCCAAAGAAAGCAAAGGTGTTCTCTGACCTTCCCCCTTTGTGAGCCATTAATACCCTCTTTACCTGCATTATTTTCTCATAAAGGATGACTTTGCTCTCTACTTAAAGCGTCTTTACACCAAAGAGTTGAATCCTTGGAACGATGGAAGTCATGAACTCTTTACATAAGGACCTATCCAAAAGTCATTGTTGTTGTTGTTGCTTTTCTGGATTATCATGAAACCTGATGCAAACTTCTGTAAAAAATGTACAATTACAGCATTTTTGTTGAATACTCAAGTGTATGCAACATTTTCCAGAATATTTTTCGTTCCTTGCGCATTGGTGTTGTGTGAAGAAACTGTAGCACAAAATGGGGAAATCGCGTATTCCACACACACAAAAATGTGCCACACAACATCTGCTTGGAGATTACTTCCTTCAAAAAATTAATGCCTTGTCTCCTGTGGCCATCCTTGGCGTGGAAACAAAAACCAGACTTTATTTGGAAACCTTGCGGAGTGAGCCCTCTAAACGAGAACTAATCTTACGCCCAGTGAACTTGACAGTGAGAGATGTTTGGTCAGAGTTGGACGTCCTGTCAGAAAAACGGACGACAGTTTTCCTCACCTCCCTCCCTCCCCCTAGCTGTTACTTGTCACCGTCCCGTGAACTGTCTTTTTCTGTGGGCGTTTCGGATTTAAGAGACATTTTCTTGGCACCATCCTGGTCAAAATCTGAAGAGCAAACAACCCAGGAAAAAATCCTGCGATGAAGCAAGTTAAAACTTGTAAATTTTGAGGGGCTGCTGAGGCAACGAGGATTTTCTATCGTCTGACTCATCAATCAATCAAACACTACATGCAACAGGCTGTCACAAACTTCCGTCATTTTGGTGCTTCAGTAAAACTAAGCACGATGGTGAGGTAAGAAAAACTTGGGTACAGACTTTGCCCCGCGAGTTCACACCGATGACCAAACAAAAGCAAACCAACTCATGCCAGCGGCGACAGGCGGCCTCATATATGCGGCTGACCGGAGCCACCGGGCTCGGGCTACCGACTTGGGACAGACCCGCGCCGCTGGGCGTGCATGCACTCACCGCTTACTCAGCGGCCGGACTCGGATGGCCACTTTCACGTTCGCCATGGCGAAATATCCACTCTTGTGCTTGTTACTCAAGTCATCTTCAATGTCGTGTCCGTTGTATATCCATTGGAATCGTGTAAATCCGTGGCAAAACCCCAGGCCGTAGTCCGTACGGTACAACACTGCGCGCGGCCTCGACTCACTTCACACACGGTTTGAAATCCGAGAGTTCATTCATGTGAGGCTGTGAATGTAGTAATGGACGATGCCAGTTTACAATCAAAATGATAACACTACAGTATGGAAATGCTCATCACGACTCTATATAGAATCGTGCACATTATGTTATAAAAAGAAAGGATTTTGTAGTATTTCCTAACTTCCTTGTTATTTAATGGAGACTCCGATAAAAAGTTTCAACGAACATTGTTGAATACCTCATGTAGATCCTTCAGTACAAGCGCCGCGTTCAACCGCATCAAACCGACGACTGTCCCATTTGTGGATCTGGTAAAGAGATAAATAATATCAAGTCAATGTAACACAAAATACTCAAATCGTTTGTACAAATGATGTTTGATTTTATGTGTTATGTATGTCTAAGCAAATATTGATTCAATGCAGTTTTTATTTTACATTACTGATACGTTTGGCTGCGGTCGAGGGTGGCTGGGCAAATTGAACAAAGCAAACTTTGTGCACATGGATCCATATTGTCGATCTCGCTATGTACGATTTCGCGGTAACTGACAAGTTAACATTTATATACTATATTCCGTCTGTGTTGGGTTCTTTTTTGGGGGGGTGAAGATTTAAGAGGTATTTCTTCTATTGACAAATATATTTCCTGTCTCATCTTCATCCAAAGGCAATAACATAGAATTCTGAAAGCATAATAAATGTGATATGTTTTGACAAATGAATAGTATTGGTGGAAATCATGGGCAACAAACAGCAGTTCAGCTTTAATCTCTCTGACGTCGTGCATTTTTTCCTTTTGTTTTACGTGTATTTTTTCATTTTTTCTTGTCTTTATTAGTTTATGCGCATTGCCTACAACATTAGTTGCTTGTAGTCGAGTCATCTAGCTTATATCAACGGCATTCTAGATATGTTACAACATTCACAATGAAATCAAGCATTTCGCCTTCCTTTTATTTTCGTGATATTTGTTTACGCCATACGAGTGAGCATACCGTGTCCTTTTTTTTCGCTGAGTTTTCCATGTCTTCCGTTTAGTTTAGCATTGTATCAACGGATGTAACAGTTTTCTTTGGTGATGTGTGTTTATTTTTATAGCCGCTCCTACCTCCTCTAGATACTAGTACATTTTTACGATATTCGCAGCCAGATATTTACAGACAAATAGTTTACCAGCTATCTGTTGAAGGGTTGCGTGTTCAAGTGATCTATTAGTATTATATCACAAACAATACAGTATATATTTGCACACCTGGTTGATTTCAATGTCCTCCTCTATAGCTATAGGGTAAGGAACATTTTCCACTCTGACGGGCCCGGCTGCCACCTGTAACGTTACACCTGGGAACAAGAGTACGAGTAGCTCTCGTGCGCAAATTTGTCTCTATTTATAGTCAACGCGGAAAGTCAAATAAAGAAGTAAACATAACCTAGCCGGAATACTGCATACATGTAGGTTAAAGAATACATATATATATACAGATTGTTGCCTTGAAAACAGTGTGCATTCCTGCGAGTTTCCGTCATCATGACCGCTGCTTGACCTGGGTATTTTCCTCCCAGTCTGCTTGGTTGCGTCTTTACATCCAGACGTTTGCCAACCGTTGAAGCCGGTTGCATACGTGTGTGCAAATTGTCGTCGCCATGGATACCATGGACGCCAGTTGAAGTCAACCTTGGGCTAAGAAGAGACGGGTGATGATAAGAACAAGAAGAAGTTTACACTGACTCAGTGACTGACTGCAGCAGCAATAGTTACTACAATGTACTATATGTAAGTTTGGTTATTTTTCTTTGGTCCATTCTTTCCAAAATGTATGCATTTAATTAGCAAACGTGCATTTCTCAGAATAATCACAACGTCTAAAAGATGTGACCATATATTTAAATACTCGACATCTTTCCATGAACTCTTGTTTGAATACTGCGTATATAGTGAATTGAAATATTTGTCTAAGCGATGCATTGTGCCTGAGTTTGTTTGTTTGGCTACGAAGCATGTTGTTTGTGTACCGTTTAGCAGGCAAACAACATGCTTTCGTTCCCATAGATACATAAACACTAATCACGTTATCGTTTCTTTTGTCAGATTTCGATGTCGAGTGAATTGTGTTTCCCAATATATTCAGATGTACTTTGCCGTGAATGTTGGAAATCAGTTTTTACGATAGTTATTTTCATCTTAATTATCAAATTATTGACCAATATTATGATTAGCAATTACACATATATTGTAAAATACAGTGCATTTAATACAAAGCATATGAAGTGTCCGACCTGACATTCTTGTTCCTTGATAGCGCTATGACAGTTGACATTGAGACTCTGAATGTGGACCTTAGAAATGGACGGAGAACATGTTTTCTTGATTCTTCACCAAGTGTTGTCAAATCGCTCGCGCCCGCCGCACCTAGCCTATTTGTTGGGAAACAAGGTGATCGAGTCACGTGGATGATCGTTTAAAAATAGAAATTTTATCAATAGGAAAGTTGTCTGTTGAAAGAAATTAGCGTACCTTGATTTGCGTTAGGTTCCGCACTTTGGCCTCGACATTGTTTCTGAAACGTGCCGCATGACATGTACCGGAGGTCGCACACAGACGACACTGGTATTTGTCCGCCGAAACCTTTCCAATTCGGCAATCAATACATGGTCACGAAAGTACCCTTTATCTTTAATGACCTTACAAGTTAAGGTTACGCACAAAGAAAAGTAAAACAACAACAACAAAAAGGGAAGCTAATTCCTTTCTCTGTCCATCTGGAAAAATGTAGTTGCCGAATTATTGTTGGTACGGAATAAAAGCATTCATAATATAAATTGCACAAAATGTATTTTTCAGTAAAGTTTTCTGTTGGAATCTTCACGGGGAAAATGTTCCTAATGCTCCTAATTGTTCTCAAATCAATCTTAAACTCAATCCCGCAACAAGTTGTATTCCTACTTTCGCTTCCTTCACAATTCAAAAACTTGAACGTTTCTTTCTGTTCATTTCCGTGACTATTCGTTTCCCTTTGCGTGAAGCTGATAGCTGGGAATGGGCATGGTCAGGCAACAACGCCGACTAGGGACCAATTTAGGAACTGCGCCTTTTCCCCTTTCCCGTTTAAATGTTCAGCTTTCATGCAGGTTGATACAAACCCTTCGCTATTAATGTGATTTTTCACATTGATAAAAAATGTGTTCTATTATATGATTCAACACAATAACAAGTACATGCACCGCGCTCTCATATCTGCAATAGTCGACAAGCGGTTATATTCTGTCCTACTTTGCATCAGGTACAGTGTAATGACCTTTAACCTTTGCGCGCAGAAAAGAAAAGTTGGTCCGCTATTCCTGCATTAGAAACGTGTATTTTTCGTCATTGTTACACCTGGTAGAACAATGGGTTAAACATGGATGGAGTCGTCACATCACTGGAGTTCCCAGAAGTCCCAAACAGCGAGGATGACACCAGGGTAGGTGATGTGAACGAATGTATTTGTGGTGATGATCTGCCCCCCTCCCCATTTTCAGCTCTTTAAGTTCTTGGATATAATTTTTGAGCATATTTAAGTTTTGGATAAACACATATTTAAGTTTTGGATAAACACTACGTTTAGCGCTAACGTTACCCGATATAAATTTTCAACATCTCCTATATCACAGTTTATACTGTTTTGATATTCAATGTGAGATGATCATAACATAATATTTCCAACATCATTAATATAAATATACATTTTTTTGTCGTTTCTTCCACCACTCAGGACTGGAGCTACACCATGAGAAGAAATATGCAGGTATGTACTAAGACAGAAATTAGTAGTAAGCAATTATAATTAGTGCATTATTCTAGTAATTACTAATATCCTAAGCATGAAAAACATAGTTCTGTACATGTGTACCTATATTAATCTGACTGTGACACAAATAAGCACTACATCAGTGTCATATATCACATGTTGTTCTTCAGATTTTAAACTATTCTGTGTATAATATAACTCCTATTCCTCATTTTTCCACAGGAAATCCTTCCCAATGTGTTCCTGGGGCCATATTCTGTAGCTACAAAGAGAAATGTAAGTTAATGTTTAGAAGAAATTTTCTATTGCTGAAAAAGTATAGCATGACATTCAATTTTGTACTGGGTGGTATTGAATTTGAACATCATTTTTCTGGGAGTAACAGTTGTTTATAATGTCATAATCATTCCTCCAAATTTCAATCACCAGTACTTCACATTGTAGTGATGGTTACTACATGTATTTTTTTCTATATGAATATTAAACATTGTTGTTTTCTTCCTTATTAACTACAAGTAGGTAAATGCCATGTTTTTTTTTCCTACAGCTTTCCAACCTGTTGGAGTTAGGTATCACCCACGTAGTGTGTGTTAGAGATACTCTGGAGGCCAAAATTATCAAACCAAACTTTTCTGATCATTTCAGGTGAGTCTTGTACTGTTTCATTCAAAAGGTATTGAGTCAACAAAGGCTGTCATTATAAATGGAAGAGTCATTACAAATAGATATCATATAGATAGTGAGTAAAATGCATGATAATTGATCATTGTAATAAAATTTGATGTCAAATTTTAATTTCTTGTTTTGTCTTTTATTCCCACAGATACCTGGTACTGGATGTTGCAGATAAAACCACAGAAAATATAATTCAGCACTTTCCTAAGGTGAGTTATGCTTCTCACTTTTTAATTTCATGTTCAGGTGTCCTTCTACAGAAATATGATAGTCTAGTGTATACTAATACAATGTATAGGTAGTGTGGTTGGACAAAATTACTAAAACTACGCCTTTTAAATAGCAAAATAGTTGTTAGTGGCTTACATGTATTACCAGAAGCTAGATAGAATTACTGGCACTGGTCAACATCACCCCCGAAGAAGCGCAAGGGCTCGCCCAGGACAGACCGAGATGGAAGGAGGTGGTAGTAGGCTCGACGCACATCGTGCAAGAGGACTGAGTGAGTGAATGAGATAGAATTAGGACTAGACTGATGTTAAAGAAAAGGAAATTTTGGCAATGATTATCTATTGTGATTGCTGAAGTAAGAGAAAAAGATTAAGATGAAATTATTAACACATGTATTTTTAACAGTATTTTCTATTTCTTCCCCCAAAAAAGGTTAAAGAATTTATGGACCAGTGTCTACAAACTGGAGGTAGGGAGAAAGTCTGAAAAATTTTCAGTGCATGTTCCTTTGTGCATTTCCTTATGTCCAATTAGACAACAAACAATACATCCTCTGTACAATCATTTTCCTTTTGTTTCTTACAGGAAAAGTCCTAGTGCATGGCAATGGGGGGATATCCAGAAGGTATGTATACTGTCAGGTTACATTTATTGAAATAAGAACTTTGCAAAGCACTTCTTTTTTTTTCTCTGAACAACACTTTTTTTTTACTTTTTCCACAAGTTGATGGTATCTTCATGTGTTTTCAGTGCTGCTCTGGTGATAGCTTACATGATGGAAACCTATGGAATGACTTACAGGTCAGTGTTTTCTCAGAACTACTATAACAGCATTGCATGTACTAGTAACTTTTCTAGACAAACAAGAGATCATCTAAAAACTATGTTATATTTACTTCACACATCACATTCAACAACCATGCATCTGTTTCATTGGAAATATGGATGCAATAAAGAACATGGATCTGCCTATTCCTGAGAAGCTGTGTTGTTCTGACTGTTGATCCCTGTTGTGTGTTATCAGAGATGCGTTCCACCACGTGCAGCAGAGGAGATTCTGTATCCAGCCTAACGAGGGGTTTGCTAACCAGCTGATGGAGTATGAACCCATCTACATGGCCAGACTCACCGTCAGACCTGGGACCTGCTGGGGACAGAACAACACACATCTCCATGGTAACACACATCTCCATGGTAACACACATCTCCATGGTAACACACATCTCCATGGTAACACGTCCCCATGGTAACACATGTCTCCACGGTAACACACATCTCCATGGTAACACTTGTCTCCATGGTAACACATATACCCATAGTAACACTTATCTCTATGGTAACACTTGTCTCTATGGTAACACTTGTCCAGAATGGAAACACATGTTTCCAATGCCATGGTAACACATATACCCATAGTAACACTTGTCTCTATGGTAACACTTATCACCATGGTAACACATAAAGCTGATATCCATTACTTGTTGTATTTACATTCTTTGGTATCTGCAATGAAAAATTTTGAATTTGTTCTAGGCACATTTTGATTATGAGATAGATGTGTATGTGGAAAATAGAAATGGCTACCACAGAATAAAGTATGAAAGAAGGCATGTGTATGTTGTCCTGACATGCCTTTACCCCATGTTCCCACCCAGGAGGTAGAAAACGTAGCCTGGATGAGGAGGGTGATGAAGAAGCCATGGATCAGACAGGAGACCCCAGTCTGGACTCACAGAACAAGTCACATCATCCTGACACATGAGGACAGATGTGCTCTCACAAGTTACATTATACTCTTTTTGATTAAAGTACGGTTAATGTACATTTGTTTTTGAGAGGTTTAAGGGTCCATTTTCTTTCTTACATTGATTTGTATTTGTCTCAAAGATGCATCCAAGAAAAGTTATTGACCTGTGTCATATGTCTATAGATAGTGGTACCTCTTCCTTTTTCCTGACAGTTCATTTTCCATCATTTTCAATCTGTAACAATGCATAAAGGGCCCCTGCATTGCATTATAATGCTATAGAAATGTTGATTCCTTTTGGTTTAACAATTTGATATTATTCCAACCCTACATAAAATCTGCCGCTATGTTGATCAATTGTAGAGAATTCTAAAGTGATGTTAGTAATCAATCTCATTTGTTGCCAATGTACAATTTGATCAATATTACTTCAAACATTGTAATTAATTTGACTGGGACCAAGGCTACAATTTTGGGTGCATATTTCTTGATTGACTTGATTCTTTGCAATCATAGCTGAAAGTCTTCTGTTGTTCAGCACTGAGTTTTTATATTCTTTTCTGACTAGTGCATAATTAACTTCTACTTGCAGCTGCATTGACCACAGTGTCAGTGTGATACTGATAGATTAAACTCACAGTATGCCCAAACTGTGTGTACATTGTGTTTCACATTTACACTTATGCTCACATTGGAAATGGTTAGTTCAAGACAAAAGAGGAATGTCATGTATATTATCATTAGAGTCAGATAAGAATGTAAACTGGTCTTGTTTTTGTGAAAAGTATGTTAGTTTTATTATAGCCATGTGTCAATTATGGTACCATTTATTGACACTCATGTCTTTGAACAAAACATAGCAACGATTGCATGTTACACACTCTAATTATTACATATGACTTGGTGAAAAGATATATAGTAGAGGGGATTCATTCCTCAAGCTACCGACATCTTGCACACGCAGTCGTCCCTCAGTAAGACATCTGGAGCCGCATAGTTCCCGTTTAGAACTTTTATTCAGCCTGTCACACGACCGGTTTTGCCTGTAGTCAAAGATAGTCAAAGATAGTCATTGACTTGGTGAAAAGGTAGCTTATAAGTACATATAGTGGGGATAGAAGCTGTAGTAGTTTGTGTGTGTGTACATGTATGCATAGGTTAACATTTTCACAGATACATGTACATGTATGTACGTACATGTATATAATGAGGACCATATTGTTATCAGGGTCAACCACTGTGCCTTAGCTTTTTTTGCTACTTGTTGTTCACATTGATCTGAGTACTCTAAAGTATCCACAGACTTGTTGCACAAGTAGAAAGGATTATTGTTATGTTTGTAGCAGGTGTTTATGTATCCAGAGTAACAAGCTCTTGGTCCATATAAGTTAATGTGTGGCAAGTGGGAATGAAGACAATTATAGTATAGCAAGGCACTTGCCTAGGGGGTGTCGCATGGAGATGGATTCATCAAAGGTATGCATAGAATGGTGCATTTATTCACAGTTTCCTAGGAAAAGAATTATGCTCTCTGCCCTTTGTTAATTGAACTTTTACCCTTTGATGTCAAAGTGTTGAAGAGAAATTTAAAAAAAAAACTGGTCTAAATCCTGATTGAATGGGCACATTGGCAATGAAACTTAAGTACAATTAAATGCAAGAGATGGAAAAGTTTAAGCTATTGTGCAGGCATAGATAGATGCACATAATTTGTTTCAAAGCCCGGTGTGTTACGTACTGTATTTTAGAGTTCAACACTTTTGTACATAGCAATGTTCACATGATGGGTTGGTTACCCGCAATGCAATGAACTGGTAAGTCCAGAAATCATGCAGGTGTCAGAGTCAAGACTGAAGTTAGTGTAGATGTTTTCAGTAATGTGTACACCACAGTTGTATCACTGATGATGTTTCTTGTATGTGCAAATATGGAGGACTGAGATGAACATGTCTAGAACACAGTTGTAGGAAAGTAACCCCAGTACAAACAAATGTAGCTATGTCATTTGAGTACTGAAATAAAAGTTGTATAGGCAACTGTTTGTCCGTCTGTAAGTATTGACTTTTTGTATTATATTTCTATTAAGAAGATCTTAATTTGTGATAATGAAATAACTATGCAAAATATTACACATTTCTTCACAAGGAAATACGATTCAGATACTAAACTAGTTTCTGAGGGTATTTACATTAAATACATGAATGTAAGGAGTTAAACAAAAATTGATGCAATTTTTTTGGCCATTGCCCAATTATGTCAATTTTCATTCAAACATTCTTGAGCCGCCCTTAATACTTAAAAATTACTCTATGATGGGATATAAAAATCATTCCTCAGATTTTGACAATAACGTAGTCATATGATATATGAAAAAAGAAGACCTCCTCTAGATTGTGAATGTCGCATCCAACTGTATCATTTGTAACGAAAAGGGTACAAGAAGCTTAGCCTAAAGCAATGTCCTGATGCATGAAAGAGGAAGACTTCCCTTTACCTGTTTACCTGTCTCAAACAGATATAGTTTATATTGTTGGTTAGTGCCAGCCACAAACGACTCATGCAGCAGAACAATATCTACGATACTCGGCATACCTTTACACTTAAGGGGAATAGCAGAACTATATACTGATTATGCGAATATTCACGTGGCTGTAAGTAAATACCAACGTCCTTGAATATAGTGTAAAATTGAAAGAATTGGGAACTCTACCAGTAAATTGATAGGCAGTCATTGCTGGGCAGTTGGCAGACTTGGCAAGACGCATGTTTGTAGCGGGAGAGTCACATTGGTATGTCCCTCGCCAAGAAGGTTATTTTTCTGGTAGCGTTTGTGTGTACATGTTTGTGTGTATATGTACATGTATGTATGTGGTTTAGAACGATAACTCGAGAAGGTTTCGATGGATTGTCATGAAACTTGGTAGGAGGGCAGGTCTTTATGAGACCTAGAAATGATTAGTTTTGGGCCCCCTGGCGGCAATAAGAATTTTCATAATTAATGAGAAAAATTTGTTGTGTTGTGTTCTAAGATAGGACTATTCAAACTTTTGGGAGTAACCGTGGGGACAGTTGGTCTACGGGATCAAACAATGCTAGGTTATTACATTACAAAGACAGCTGTTCCTGTTATTGACCACGGGATGCTGATATTCCCTTCTTTGCATATATGCCTGCCATATTCTGTTGGTACGGCTACGAGTCATTGGCAGGTTCAGTTCCCATCTACAAATGTAGACATTCTAGTTTAACCATATTGATGACTTTTGATGTATGGTAAAAAGGTATGGTGCAGATTATGCAGAACTGAAAAAGAGGAAACAGTCTGCCAAATATTTCCCAGCAAACGGGAGGTAATCGAGTTTTACACAAACATAAGTTTTGAAAAGCACTGTAGACCTGAGCTACATATTCCAGATCAATTGTGCATTTCATAAGAGATGAGATTCTAGAAACTTGAAATAAAGAATAAATCCTGATCTAAAAGTCACATTTTGAAGATGTTACAAATGACATAAGACAGACTACTCATACATACTATATGTTAAAAGCTTTTTAATAGAGCCATGTACGAATCATACTCTGTCAATTTAGCAATATTGCAAGCATATCACATACAGAGCAATACACCTATTGCTTTTGGAGTTGTACAGGTGCGATAGGAACTCAAAGGGGAACAAAAAAACGACATTTCCTCTTCCATGCTTATCCAACGTTATGGCACATTGATTTCAACATAGTCCCTTTACCACTCGTTCATATTTTTAAGAAAATACATCAATACAAGTATAGACTTGCCTTAAAAAGACAAGTCTAAAACGTGTATTGATGTATTTTCTTTATTTTGTGTTCTTCTTTATTTCATATCGGTAGACATGGTGTGACCTCGGCAATGTTTGCAAATCTAGTTAAATTCATTTTAAAAGGCATTTACGAGGACCAAGCGCCGTGACCTCGCTGTAATCTATTTGATAATTCTGACTTCTTCTTTACACTTAACAGAATCTTTACACAGTGATACTAAACGCAGCATCGAAGGATCGTGAGGCAAGGCGACGAACTCCGACGACAAACTGATGTTACGTGAGTGCAGAAAAATGAAAACATCCGGGCTGATTCTGGTGTTGGTACTCACGTGGTGGTCAGTGCAAATCCGCGCGTCAGCCTCAACAAGGAAAGGGGAATGGTGTTCATACAAAAATTGGGAGTTCTCCTGTGCAAAGAAGGGTCTAAGACGCATTCCCGTGTTAATTCCTGGTGAAGCACAAACATTGGATCTTTCTATCAATTATATACCAGCACTTTACAATGACTCGTTTGCTGGTATGGATAAACTCACAGTCTTGGATATATCAAGGAATCTCATAACTGACATTGAATCAGCAACTTTCTGGAACCTGAATAACCTAACAGTGCTAAACCTAAGAGACAATAGGCTACGGTCATTAAGTCCTCGTGTGTTTGAGAGTCTGTCCTATCTGCAAATTCTGCGGTTAGACCAAAACATGTTCAGTAGCACATCGGCCATTAGTGCAGCATTACTCCCGTTACGTTCTTTATATAGTTTGATTTTGAATAACAACAATCTGTCGCACATTAAGCTAGAACCAGACTTTGCAAATCTAAACCAACTAAGTTCTCTTCGTCTTTCTGGAAACTCGATTTCATCTCTACAGGCAGAGTCCTTCCACGTGATGAAGAATCATTCCCTCACCCATCTCAGCTTGGGAAGTAACGGTCTGATTAGTATACCGCGACAAGCCATAGATTCCTTCGCAAGAATTCGACAACTTGATCTTTCTATCAACAACTTGACACCAAAAGACGTGGTCACTATTTTCAATAATACTAGGGGATTGGGGATTACAAATTGGACATTGAGTGATAATAGCTTGACTGAATTGACAAATGCCACATTCTATCCACTCTTTCATGAAGAAGTTATCTACCTTCGTTTAAACAGTAACAACATCTCCCAGCTAACAGACTATCTCTTTGGTTACTTGCCTCAACTGCGTGTTCTTTCTCTTGGACAGAACCCAGTTGAGAGGCTATCGGCAAGAGTGTTTGCTGGCTGTGACACTCTACAAGAGCTAGGCGTAGACAATTGGGGTTTGCAGGAAATTCCATTGGAATTATTCAAACCATTGGAAAACTTGACGAAATTATACCTGGATTCAAATCAAATACATAAAGTCAGAGAAAAGGCCTTCATGTCGCTGCCGAAGTTGAAGATTTTGCGACTGACTGCAAATCGGATAGAAACAATAGAGGATAATGCCTTCTATGGTCTACACCATCTTGAAGTGTTGAATTTAGGTAGCAACCATTTAAGGGAAATTACATATTACACATTTAGTGAAATTGGCCCATCACTAAAAAAGCTAGACCTGACAGCAAATCGCCGACTGAAAACGATTTCCCCGTTCTCGTTCAACAAGCTACAAAATCTGACAGATCTATCTCTTCAAAGCTGTAAGCTAAAACGTCTAGGTAAGGATGACTTCGCAGGTCTGTACAACTTGCAACAACTTGACTTGTCCTTTAATTCGATCTATACGATTGACCCAAATGCTTTTCATGATCTGTTGTCTATCAAAGTTCTCGACTTGAGCAACAACCATCTTGGACGCGATATACGTCAGAATCCATCAATATCTCCGTTCTGGAACCTAACCTCTCTAACCGAACTACATTTTATCTATCAAAAGTACACCGCAGGGATATTTCCTGATGGCTACTTGGATGGTCTGACGTCCCTTCGGCTGCTTACATTAATGTCACAGAAACTTGTATCACTGGAAAGCAAAACAAACAAAAGAAGTATTCTAAAAAAACTCACGGATCTCCAATACCTGCAACTATCTCAGAATAAGCTCAGCAATTTCACAAGAGACACTTTTGCAGGGTTGATCAACCTCAAGTACCTTTATCTTACGTCCAACTCCATTAGAAATCTTCCATCAGGTATCTTCAGGTATCAAGGTAGACTGCAATATCTAGATCTCAGTTACAATGGAATTGTTACTCTGAGTAGCACGGTATTCAGCCCCTTGAAGTCATTAGTTGTACTCAACGTTTACAGCAACAGTTTTGCCTGTACTTGTGACATAGAATGGTTTCACAACTGGATAGTTTCAAGCATGAACACGACTACAGGTGTACAGGGTGTCTACTTTGAAGCCCATACAAACTACACTTGTACAACTCCAGCAAACCTGAGAAACAAACGTCTGGTTGACATTAACTTTGACAAACTTGGCTGCAGATCTAAACTCAGCTTTTATGTAGCAATAGGGCTGAGTGTCACGTTTGTCATCTTGTTGGTCACCATTATACTGATGTACCGATATCATTGGTACGGACGATACGCCATGTTCCTACTCCGGGCCAAGTTCCACAAGTATGAACTCATCAGAGAAGAAGAGGAGAACCCCAAGACGTACGACGCCTTTGTGGCACACAACAGTCACGACAGCGCCTGGGTCATCCGTCAGCTCCTTCCACAGTTAGAACGAGGAGATCCTCCAGAGTTTCGTCTCTGTCTGGGCGAACGGGACTTTCAACCCGGAGCCCCTATAGTGGACAACATCGCCGAGTCCATCTACGAAAGCCGCAAAACCATCTGTGTCATCACGCGGAACTTTCTGGAGAGTGACTGGTGCAGGTTTGAGATGCAGATGGCGACGTATCGTCTGTTTGAGGAGCACGTGGACTGTTTGATTGTGGTGTTCTTGGAACAGATTCCAGCCCAGAGACTGGCCAAGTACCACTCCCTGAGGCGGGTGATGTGCAGGAACACCTACCTGGAGTGGCCCGAGGAGCCCGAGGCCAGGGATCTGTTCTGGGAACGACTTCGTGTCGCACTACGAACACACAGGCCACTGGATCACGAAGTTAATGCTTAAAGATGATGTTGGTGTAAACAATATGTACAATGTACAAAATCAAGAGACAGAATAATGATATTCCTTTATGCCTGTTGGTGTTATCCTATTGCTAATGAATCTGTTGTTGGCTGAATATATGTTCTAACTTTTGCTACTTATCGTATCATCAATACACTGCGTGCAACTCCCTTAAGAAATCTTAATTAAAGTTATGAACACATGCCAAGAATACAAACTGTAATCAATGGCAAGGACAAGGCTGAAAACTACTTAATCTAGCATGTACATAATGAAGTATGTAGAAATTTAAGTCATTAGAATAACACAACCATGTACTTAGTACTTGCTGTTTATAAGTAAAGGTATGTACATTGAGCAACATTGCCATGACTTTGTTGTCAACTTCCAAAGGTATACAAAAGTGTTGTAATCACACTTTACTCGAGGGCAATATCTTACACACTGATCATGTGCATCATTTGTGGTGCTAACTAACTAACAGTGAGTGCTGAACGTGTATTAACACAAAGCCAGTCACAGTTGTGTTCTAGTGAATTTCCAACAGGCAATACAGATGAGGATTTTTGAACACAGTTTATTAATTTGACAAAGCTGTACAGAACTGTATATACGCACAATCTTATCCATGTAGGTTTCAAGTACTTTTTATATACACTATCAGTACACTCTCCATTCTCTGTCTAAATAATAATGATAACAATCGATGTATAGATTCTATACACTGCACAATATCAATACTATGAGACCTATACTCAAATTACATGTATGTGCAAATTTACTAGCAACAGCCAATATACATACTCCATAGCTACTCTGTAGGTTTAGTGGAACAAATTAGAAATTAAAAAATTCTATACAGAAGGTAATCTTCTAGTTAGTATACTGGCAATAGAATTGTGCAGAATAAACTAATACTCTGTACATAAAAACATAGACCCGTGTGTTATTGACCAGTAGTGTCTGCCTGCTGTTTTCTTCTCTGTCTCTGTTCTGCCATCTTCAGTTGGAACTCCTTAGAGTCCTCCCACGGGCGTGGTCCCCTGATGTTCTCCCAGTCAGACACGTCCACATCCTTCTGAACTTTCTACAAGATTTAACAGGGAAACACTGGTTGAGGATATAGGGGCAGTGGGTTGGTAATCCACTGTGTCTTGGGTACTATGTCTTCCACCTTTTACCTCCCCAAATGAAGTCAGGTGCACATTTTGCACCTGCCTGCAGTGAGGAAAGTCATGTTACAAGTGCCTTTCCCATGGACACTTTCAGTCAAAGACTGCAGACAGGCAATTTGTATGTTCATACACCTTGAAGGCAGCAACTTTTCAGTTGGGACTTTTTTTCCAAACAAGTCTAAATCTGAATTCTAATTGAATGCGAGTTGTCATTTACATGTAGGTGTTCCATACAAGTGTAAAACATATCTTTGACAAGCCAAGATCATGGCAGTGTTTCCTCTAATTCCTACCTCAAATTGGTTCTCCAGAGTGACTGGCTCTTCCTTTTTCTTCCACCCAAACTTCTCTTCTAGGTTTTTGTCAATCTGAAACATGAAAAAGTCACAGCATTAGAGAAATCAAAGTATACAAGTTTTTGTTCACATCATATACATGCAAATTATTCGAAGACATATGCAAACTATTGGTAAGCAAATCATGCAACTGTCATTCATTCACTGGCCCTGACGTCATAGCTGTAGTTTTTATGGTATGGTAGCAGTTTCAGATACAGTAGATGTAAGCTGGACAGAAGGTTATGATTATAACCTTAACATTGTATCCCTCAGATTACTTACTCTTCTCTTCCTGAACTGTACATCATATCGTAAGGAAGAAAATCTTTCCAGTCCGTATGACCCTCCCACCACCATGATCTGTAAAAGAAACAAATCATTAATGTTACTCACTCTAACTCGACTTCAATTAATAGTAGTTAATGTAAAGTTACATCAGTATACTCAGATACTGACACTAGTAACAATAAGTTAACTAAAACCCTTGAGTATAAAACAAACTTGATATTTTGCTATGTATCTTTAATTTCTTTTTGTAGTGCTACTAAAGAATGTTCTTGTCACATATTCACTCAATGTATATTAGTTGCCAAATTCATTCATTCATATTAGTTGCCAAAACAACAAATTCATTCAAATACACATGTATAATCAATCATATACACACACGTTAACATGAACTTGAAAGTGTTTTGTTATATCATGAGAAGATAAAAATGTCAGTCTCCCCAAATCTCGGGGACTTATTCAGTGAAATAAACTTTCTTATTGACCAATTAAAAACTCCCTACGTACGATCATCGGCAGTCCGACTTTGAGGAAGGCCCTGGTTCCCGAGGAGAGGGTTTTCCACCTCGCAGTCAGCTGGGACAGGAGCGCTGGAGAGGTCACCATTTTGTACTGGTACATGACCATTTATGAAGGGGGAACTGTAGTTCAATTGCTTTATAATCTATTGATTTTACATTCATATAAAAACATATCTACATTTATATTTTAGGTATATATGGGACATTAATATATTCATATTGATTTGCTAAACAATTAAAATATTTGGGCATTTTAGTGTACGCCTTATTTTGACACACCCCTATTTTCTCTATAATACTGTAATCCAAAATGGCGGCGCCCTTGAGGTGTGCAGTACGAGCTATTTCATTGTATAAAGGTACGTTTTTTTGGTCATAAGTGGTCATTTCCTTACCCTAGTACCAGAGGTTTCCTATTACACTTTCCTTAGATTGTAGTAATGCTTTGAAATTGCAGTCAACTTTCTAATGCATCGAGGAAAGGCCCAAAATGTCGGCTCGTACGCAAGTGTCATGGAGGGGGAGGGGGGCGTTTCGGGTCAATCCAAAGCAACCCGTGTTTATGAACGTGAATAATCGCCATGCTCATGATATTAACATGTTTGATTATCAACACATCATTGCCTTTAAATTTTAGTAAAGCTGAGACTTTCTGCACCATTGTAATTATGAAAAGAGAATCATAAATCGTAGTATTATAGAATATTGAATGTATCATTATATTGCATTTATTAGAATATTATTGTATGTAACGTTAGATGCAGTGTGCTTGTTTGCTAGTATACATATTTAATCTTTCCTTTTAGAAGGACTGTATAAAAAACTATCATACAGTGTATTCACATGAAACATATATATTATACTACTATCATGCACATTTGTACTCGATGTAGTATAGAAAGACTACTGGTATATATGCACATGCTTGCATTGTTACTACAAGATATTGAATTCATGTATACAATGTACCATGTTGTTTCCAGATGTATCTATAGTGAGGAGTGTGTCAGTCGTTCCTTCTGTAGCAGGGAAGGTGCTGATGACATCACAGCTCAACCAACCAACCAGCAGCCAGCCCTGCAGACATGTCAGCTTCATCAATAAGTGTAGGTGTTATATTCATGTATAACCAGGTTCATCATTGATGAGAAAGAATTAAAAGACTTTTGGAAACAAATTTGTCCTCTATTACTCAGATGATTTTTTTTCTTACAGAATATGAAGTTGGAAGACTTCTTACAACATGTATTTCAATATAAAAAGAAAACAAGAGACCATTTCAGTTTCCATGATTGATCATTGTTGATATTAGTTGATTATAATTCAGATATCAATTTTTGGAAACTACACACTGTCATACATGTTTGTTTAGCTGTATGCTTGTTACCGTAACTCACTTAACTTCACTGTCCCACACAGTAACCGCTGACCAGCTGTGGAAAGGTGTTTTAGCTGAAGGGTCGGGAGCTCTGAGACGAGCTCGAGGCAAAAGAACCAAGAAGAGGACCAAGAGAGATCTCAACATAGGCCAGATCATTGGTGAAGGTAGGGACAATTTCTGACAATCAACATGTATTTGTATGAGTGTCACTAACATTTGCATGCAACTGTTTGGGTTGCAGTCCTTTGCAAGTGTTGGTGGAGAGCTACACCTTGAGAGTGTTAAAGAACTCACCAGACTTATCTACAAGAGCAGGTGTACATGTACGCATGTGCCTGAGTGGATCTGACCAATCTTTTTTTTCAATGCAACTTGATCAGAATTCACAGTGTGTTACACAATAAGGCTGTTTACTGGTCAGGAAATACAAACAAACAAAAAGAAGAAACATGTAAAAATGCACATTAAAAGAATGTAACAGTTACAATATTGAAGTTTTTCTGAGGATTGTTACGTATTGTTTTGTAGGAAAAGACGCGTACGTGTGGCCTGGTCTGAACGCTCCCGTCATGACGGCCGGAGTGGTCCATGGAATCCAGAAGAAGGACAACGACCCTGAGCGGGAGAGGAAACTGATCGAGGAGAGAGATGCCTGGTACAAGATGAAGTCCAAACGGCTGAAGAGAGAGCGAGGCTGGACCGGGGGAACGTTAGGAGGCACCAGCCTGGGCTCACCTGATCCCATAGGGAAAAGTAAGAAATTAAGATTCTTGAAATGGACTGATATGAGTAGTTACGCTGTGTTTTATTACGCTGTTTTTAAAATCAAATTTATTGTTTTGCTTTGAGTTTTTGGTTTGTAGGGACTTATTCTGTACAATGTACAATGTATGTCTTGCTACGTGTTCTGTAATTTTTTTTTTCATTCACAGGAACATTTGAAGACTTTGAAGCAAGAGTATTAGAGGTTAGTATTGTTGCAATCCAAAGATCCAAGCTCCTAAGACCCAATATTCCAAGGCTAAGCTACAAAAATGTATGTTTTAGACCTGTATTAGACCTGAAACTATATGGAATATTGATAAAATGGAGGCTATAAAAAAAGTATAATAAATGGCCAGACAAAAGCACAAACAAGCAAAAACAATGATTGTTTCTTTCACAAGATGTATCTCGCTGATGCACAAGTAAAGTCCTCATGAGTTAATGTGTTTCTATACCGTACAGGTGCGTAATGTGTTCAACATGACGGCTAACATGGGCAGGAAGAGGTCAGTACGAGCCCTGGTGGTGGTGGGCAACAGGAAGGGAGCTGCAGGTGAGATGGACTTAGGGACTGTACGATATTTACCGGGGAGGGGGGGCCAGTCGTCCGGGGGTAGCGTAAAAAAAATTTTCCTAGGCCCTCCCCCCAGGTCAAAAAAATTTTTCCTAGGCCCTCCCCCCGCCTCAAAAAATTTTTCCTAGGCCCTCCCCCAGGCGTGAATCATAGAGAGTGAAATTTCGAATGGGGGAGGACGAGATTTTGATTGAAAATTTTTCCCGCATGAAGCGCCGAAAGCGCGAGCCATCGCGCCGCAGGCGCCACTAGAGCCCTTTTGGCGGGGGGGGGGGGCCGTAGGAAAATTTGAATTTCAACCCATGTTTTGCATGTTGAGGGGCAAATTTGGCAGGACAAATTTCGCTGGTACATCGAGCTAGTTAAGTCAGTAATGTTACGGTCAGTCAGTGTAAATCGAAATAAATCTAGCCTACCTTTCATCCACGAACGTCTTCCGCGTCAATTTTACTACAAACAGGGAAACAATATTGCCAGGTTACGTGCTGTTTTCAATTAACTTTGGAGGGACATAGATATAAATGTTAAAATAGTCCTTGGTTTAAAAAAAATACCAAATTAATCCGTCGACATCCGACATCCACGTCGAGAAGTTTGAGCGAGTTGCGAGGCGGGACCAGCAGGACCTTTGCCGACGCACGCACACCACTGGGAAGGGTGCGTTGAACGGCGAAAATTAATTTTCAAAATCTTCCGACAAGCCATCCCTACATTTTTTATCGGTATCGTTTCGATAGCCGCGATTGACATGACTTTAATCCATGTAATTTGGCTGTGTAGTCCAGTTTCGCCGATTCTGGCGAAAATGCAAGATTTTGAAGAGGACTGTGGGAGATTTGGGCGAATACATTATGATAATAGGGATGGATATTATTGGAACGTAAAATTGCCGATTCCAATGACCGGCAAATCGCTACGATATGTATGGGACAGACGTTAATCATGTTTTGAAAGTGTATAAAAACGTTGTAGAGTTAAAGGGATCTTGGAAAAATTTTTTACCTATATAAAATATTTTTTCCTAGGCCCTCCCCCCGGCTCAAAATTTTTTTCCTAGGCCCTCCCCCCTCAGACGACTGGCCCTCCCCCCCCGGTAAATATCGTACGGTCCCTTAGTAATATTGGTCATGTTGGAGGGTTGGATAGGCATATTTGGTAAATAGCAGCATTCAAACACTACTTCCACTCATTTGCAAACATAATGTGATTTGTTATAATACTACTGTGTTATGATTCTAAGTTAGAGTGAAATCAGTCCAGGCCAGATGCTAGTCATGAGGCTGCTGCTGGTAATAATAACTTCTACATCCAAGTAATCTGACATGGGAACATAAATGTTCATCTTATGTTTACATTGTTGTTGTTTCTCTGTGTCTGACAGGGTTTGCTGTTGGAAAAGCTCAAGATGCAAGAACAGCCCTGAAAAAGGTAAGAGGGCGATGACAAGCTGATGAAAATAAGATATCACAAAGAGTTATTTTTGTAAGACATGTGGATATAGCAGGAAAGGCTGTAATTTTAAAGAGTTTAAGTGTACAACATGGCCACGGACCAACCATACGACTTCTAACAAGTTTGTTATCTTATCACAACTTCTTTACTAGGCAAAGAACAAGGCAGTGAATGTGCTGTACTACATTGAGAGGTACAACAACCATACAAGTAAGTTTTCATTCCCAGTTTGTCTCGTGCAACACAAGCTGTGTACACACAGGCAAGTAGAACATGTGGGGAGATTTAATTACCTTTGGTTTAAGCTTGTTAAACAGATGCCTCCTGTAGAGAGCAAAATCATAGTTTCAGTGGTATAGACTCGTAGCAACTTAGTAAAGTTATGCATACACATGCTTTGATCTAGAAGGAGTTGCAATGATGTCCATATTTTCTATATAGTGTCACAGTTCTTATTACACCATCCTCTACTTTCCAGTTTACCATGACATTGACGTGACCTTCCAGAACACCAGAATCAAAATGAGGAAGCAAAACAGAGGTGGGTTTTATTCTTGTCATTCTTGTGATTGTAGGTGGAAACATCAAAACGAAAATGTGGGAATTAAACCACTTTATTTGCTTCAGATGAAGAATGTCAGGAGTTTAGTATAAAAATGTATGTGTACTTGTCTTCCACCTGATGTCTTATCCTTAACTTCATGACCACAGTCTTGGCCAGTACAGGTTGCAGCTTAGTTCAGTTGTTGTGCATTACAAGGTTGTGTATGTCCTGCTGTTTTCCAGGCTATGGCCTGCAGTGTCACAGGATTCTACAGACATGTGGTCGGCTGATCGGACTAGAAGACATGTACGGTCGGGTCCTGGGCTCCAAAAACCCCCTCAGTATTGTCCACTGTTTCTTCAAGGGACTAACCAAAGAACAGGTACTGTTGTCATTCATGTACATGTAGGCAATTTGTATTGATGTCTTTTCTGCTGTATACTGCAACTGAAAACAAAGGGATATCCAAAGGTCTATCCAAACTTAGATTATGTTGCTAGAATTTGGATGAATGCAAAATGAATGTATTTATGATGGAGTATTCAATTCTAACACAAGAACTACTGAGGACATGGTATCCATTTTAGTGCAATTTCGGAAGAAGTATCAGCGATTAACCTTTCCCTTGCTACATCAGTTCAACTTGGGTTGTACAAATTGGCCCACAACTTCATGGATCTTTAGCCCACATTAACCCAATCTGTATCCCCAGGAAACTCACCAGCAGCTGGCTGACAGGAAGGGCCTGCACGTGGTGGAGTTCCGACAGGAGTGCGGGATGCGCCCCATCGTGGTGGCCTCGCCCAGCGACGGGAAGGTTCGCGAGGAACCTGAGTCTGACGACGACATCCCAGACATCAGTCTGGACGTCAAGGATGTGAAGAAGAAGGAAGGTCTCTACAAGAGCCCCTGGGAAGGCATCTACAGGAGGGAGTTCAGATTCTAAGATACCAGCAGATGGAATAGTAAATGATTCTACACCTTACCGCTCAGTACATGTAATGACAGCTAGATATATACGTTCATATTTAAAAGATCTATTTCATGTTTTTGTCCATTTCTTTGCTGTAGGTGTAGTTTCTAGCAATCTATGATGTTTAATTTGTGGTGTAAGATGTGATGTTTAATTTGGAGGTCACCACAAAAACTGCCAACTAGTTAAAAAGATTACACAATAGGCAAGAATGAATGACAATAACTTGATTTCTTGTTTTATTGCTAGATCAACAAATGTCTAGTTCACTACAGTCATTATAGCACCCATTCAGTGACAGTACCGGTAACATACAATTTACAAATCCCTCTTCTCTTGTGATACAAGGTACATGAAGCATTGTGTCTACAGTTACAGTATCCCACCAATATGCTGAAGCTTCTTCCAAGTCACTGGTCTCGAATTATTACCTGTCTTTTAATAATCTTTATTTAGAATTTAGAATTCACCTTAACAGAAGGTATTTCAAAAATTGCAGTTGCTTTGCAACATTTTGAGCACCAAGACCCTCTTTTTTCAATGTCATCTAGACATTATACTACAGGCTGTGTAACTACATTCTCTGCTAGCATGCCAATCCAGCACTTATACAGACATGCTCACAAAACAAGCCTTTAAAGACTAGAATCAGAAGGATTCATCTGACATTACAATTTGTGATTTTGGAACATTTGTATAGCTGTTTTTATTTATACCACATCTTTCAAGTATTGACAATAAAGTCATGGTATGAAATAGGCCATGTACATGTACATGAAGATCTCTTTCTTAATTTAAAAGCAAAGTCCACCATTCTAGTTGTTATACTTTACTACTTATACAATACGGCAAACAGAAAAAGAAAGTGTTGGATATCCCTGCCAGAGAGTAAAAGAAACATGACCATTCCCTGCAATACTGAAAGGGAAAAATATCGACACTATACACAGTATACCTTGTTAACACACAAAATTCATTCACAATTACTGAAATCTCAAGACATGCATCCTTTTAAGGCTGTCAAGTAATCATATGTCAACAAATATTTGGCATATCCTATCTCTCTGACCTAACTAGCATATGTCTGCTACGAGTGTAAGATGATTTTACTTTAATCACTTGAGTAATCTTTGTTTCTGAGAAAGACATTGATATAGTCACAACATTTCTGTCTTCTTGCTATTTCAGGATGTTATATTTTGTTTCTGCTGTATCTAACAGTTGACTCTTCTGTACTGTTGTAAAGAAAGGTTCTTATTTAGCAGCAGCTTCCTCATTGCCTCGACAGGGATCCTCGTACGGCGGAGGGATGACAAAGTCGGAAGGTTCCACACCCCAGATTTCCCTGGCGTACTGCTCTATCGTTCTGTCACTGGAGAACTTCCCAGAGGCCGCGATGTTCATCACGCTCTTCTTTGTCCACGCCATCGGATCCTGAAACACAAGGATTTTATCCTACAGTTATTTTTTTTTCAAATTTTCCTACTTTTACCTTTTTATCCTACTTTCCAATTTTCCTACTATTATTACCAGTATTCTTTATGAATGAATCACCTAGTTGTGCACTTTTATAAATGCTAATAGAAAAGAGTGAGTTAGGTAAGCTAGCACACAGACTTTAAAATGGAAGGTTCCACCCACCTTGTACAGTTCACTGACTTTATCTTGGCATTCGATGTAGGCCCCATAGTCAGCCAAGAGACAGAATCTGAAATTAGAAATAAGGGATCTGATTAGAATAGTGACATCAGAACAACTGGTAGAAAAGAACATCCCTTACTGTCAAGGTTATGGGGAGGGGGGGTAATTTCATATTTATCCTGTTTCTATTCAGATACACCCTTCATGTTATTGTGCCATGTACATGGTAGACAATACAATAACATTTTCCTGTACATGTCATCATCACTGCATACTAGCTACACTGAGATGGGTCGTCATTCTCCATTGTCTATTATCTGCTGTTTTTAACATACATGCTGTTTGACCAAACAAATATCTTTAAAAAGTCACATCAATTTTTAGTTTATTTTGCCACATCTGAAAAAGAAAGGCCCTGTGCAACAATTCTTCAAACGTCTGTGTAATTCTGGTTGTAAAATGATTGTGATGTAAGAAATGACAGGAGACTAACCGGTCATGGTTCAGCAGGGCGTCCACGACATCATGGAAGAGATCTGGTTTCTCTGGAGAGAAGAATCCTCCCCGGATCAGGTCCAGGGCTTGCCTCAGTTCTTCATTCTTCTCATAGTACTCACGGGGCTTGTAGCTGTACGATTAGTACAAAATACCAGAAATTAGTTGTGTTTGTAGCCTAAAAATTTTGTGGCACAATGAAAATATAGATTTCGCAGTTACTGTATCTTTTGAGTTCCCAGTTGAAACGAACAGTCATTGTTACACAATGGGAGACAACTTACATGTATGTTCAATGTGAGAACGAAAAGCATGAATTTAAAAAGTAAAATGCAAAAATTTCAAAATTCACAGTTATATATGTCACCATCAAACCAAAAGTAAATGCATGACCTTTTGTAATATGTTGTAGGAAGTCTTACGCATCTGGGTTAGAAACTTAAGGTCTTGTTAGTGTTAGTTTTAGTTAGTAGATTGTACCCACCCCTTCTTGACCAGTTCGTCCACCTCATCAACTGTCATACCAAAGATGAAGATGTTGTCGTTCCCCATCTCTTCTGCCATCTCAACATTGGCTCCGTCCAACGTGCCGATAGTCAGAGCACCATTCAGCTGAAGGAGGAGGGAAACGGAGGTTTGTGTGGTGTTTTAACTTTGCAGTTCATACAATTCACTGTGGTGCAGTAATAATATGATGGAAATGCATGGTCCTTATTCAAACAACCATCCACAGTAGTCATTACAGAAATAACATGGCGTCATTCATTGCATCATGAGAGGGAGCCACAAAATTAAAACCACCGCAAACATTTTGAAATCTACAGTACTATTATCACACAGACAGAAAAACCAACTTGCAGGAGAATCATATTTATATAAAAGTTTTTCATTACCATAAACTTCATGTTCCCAGTTCCAGAGGCCTCAGTCCCTGCAGTGGAGATCTGAAGCACAAGGAGACAAATATAAGCAAAAAACATGTTGAGGATTATATTCACTTAAGTTTGACGAAACCCCATGAGTTCACAAAATTTGATTCATATGGCAATGCACTATGATCGCTGACCACTTAGATTGTACACAATGGGGACACGTTGCCATACATTTTATGTCAAAGTAATAACAGTTATAGTGGCTGTGACGTAGTCTGTACCTGCTCTGACAGATCAGCTGCAGGGATGACCTTCTCGGCCAGAGACACCCTGTAGTTCTCCAGGAACACCACCTTCAGCCGGTTCCCCACGATGGGGTCGTTGTTGACCACGCGGCCGACGTTGTTGTACAGTTTGATGAGCTGTTTGGCCATGTGGTACCCTGGTGCTGCCTTTCCACCAATCATCACTACACGTGGAGTGAAGTCCATGTTGGGGTTTCTCTTCATGCCTAAATAAGACAGAAATAAGGTAAAAACCAATGGACTATTTGAAATTCTTGATGTATATTTATATAATAATAAACCTTTGCATACCTAATTCAGTGTATACTGCAGTGTATTTCTATAGCCATTGGCTCAGATAGCTGTGTAAGCACTACAGCATGGGACTGGTTCAGTGGTGTGTGTTTAATTCCTGTACTCTTTATCATAAGTTATGCAGAGAAAGCAGTAGTCTTTGATGTGACCATGGAGATGACAGGACCCAGCTGGAGTTTGAACCCTCTCAAATGTGAACACTCTACCCACAAGCTATAGGTTGTTGTACCTACTGTCTTTTTCTTCACAACACTTTGGTATAGAAGTTTTCCATTATTGATTCACTGTTTCATCCCAGTACAAAACTCTAGATAATGCAAATGTATGGTACTATTTGAGCTGAAGTTGTCCAGTAAAGTGACGTACGATTGTACATAGTAACGATATGGAGGATGTTGAGCAGCTGTCGCTTGTACTCGTGGATTCTCTTCACCTGCACGTCAAACATGGCGGACGGGTCGATCCGCATGCCTGTGGTGGACTCCAGATACTGGGCAAACTTCATCTTGTTCTCCTGTAGTGCAACATGGGAAATGGAAGATTATGTACTGACAGTATTTTGAACCAGCTCTCAGTGATCACATTGACAATCATACTGACAACATAAAATGTTCAATACGTTTTGTACATAGTACAGGCTTCAAAGAGCATTCACTAGATCAAGACAGAGATACAGATTTTATATATATGAATACACAATTCAAACTAAAAACCAGCTTAAAGATTACCTTAAGTGACATTTAAGTCTTTTCATTAGCTCAGCACCTACTGTTTCACAGGCAAGCACACATCTATACAGCATGGTTATCACAAAATGTTGTGTTGTTCCTGACCTGTTTGACCTTGGCCACAGCCAGGAGGAACTTCTGGTCATTCGCATACTTCTCCAGACCCCTCAGTTCATCCAGCTTGGTCACCCACGTCTCCCCAAGTTTCTACACACAGGAAGGTACAACTGTCAGTTAGCACATTTCCAGCATGCAGCAGCAAGTACAGTGTTATACATACAATACTGCTTTGTCCTTACTGACAATGGTTGTAGTCCTATTAATGGGATGTACATTTGTAAAGCCTGTGTTCCAGTGTTTGAGAAGACCCACACCTAAATAATGATTGGTAAGAATATACACCCCAGTGAGTGGATTATTCAAAACTTTGATGTACCAAAAATTGTAAAGAGTGCATTTGAGGAACATCAATGCTGTGTCTGCTGCATTCTTGGTGTTCCTATTTGCAGTTCCGTGAATCATAGCTCAAGCATTTTGGATATTTTAAAAATACCTTTTGACCCTCATAATCAACTTACTTATAAAGGAAGAGAATACCAGAAAAATACTCAAATAAAAATTGCTTGAGCTACGATCAATTGAAATTAAAATGAAGGACACCAACATGTCATTGATAAGGAAAGAGAGTGAAAAGAAAGACCCACCTCAGCGATGAGATCAGCCAGGTTGGGGTTACACAGCAGCAGCCAGCGGCGGGGGGTGATGCCGTTTGTCTTGTTCTGGAACTTGTGAGGGTCCATCTCAAAAAAGTCCTTAAACCTGGGGAATAGGCAACATAAGGAAAGATACTTTTGACCATTGCAAATGGAGCTTTTTCTCAATTAACCACTGTTGTTTGTGTGATATTACACAGACACTAGTCTTGTAATCGAAAAAGAGTAATGAAAGAACTGTAGAAAAAAATAAGTTGAAGAGTCTCTAAGTTGTAATGCCATGGAAACACATGCCAAAATTTGAAGACCTACAGTATGAAGACTTTTCAGTACAGTAAGATTAACTTACAATCCCTTCTGCAGCAGGCTGGAGTGGATAGCTGCCACCCCGTTGACGGCGTGAGAACCCACGATACACAGGTGTGCCATGTTGATGTTCTTCACATGGCCTTCCTCTATTATAGACATCCTCCTCATGCGATCAAAGTCACCTGGCCATAGACTGGCAACTCTCTAGGAGAGACAGAACGATAATAAAAAATTGAAACATCGATGTGTTTAAATTTCAGAGGAAAGCCAACCTACATGTGTAAATCAAAATGGAGAAAAAATGCCACGTTCAAACTTATGGTAAGGTCTAGAACCAATCAAGAGAAAAACTGATCTTTCCTGTGCTGCAGTTTTGTCATAAGTTGATAGGTGGCACTTCAGTACCACAAGCAACACAAGGTTCCTGTACCTCCATGTGCTTGGCGTTGATGTCGTAGATGATCTGGAGATGGCGGGGCAGCAGGTATTCGAACATGTGGATGGGCCAGCGCTCCAGTGCCTCGGGCAGCAGCGTGTGGTTGGTGTACGCACAGGCCCTCTGGGTGATCTCAAACGCCTGGCATCAGGGAACAAGGTAAGTAACAACAAATGTTGTTATTATGGTGTTATACTAAACCTACATGGTGTTCTCATGTGGTCATGATGTCATACATGTAGCTGCCAGATTTGTTGGAGTTAGACCTATAAATTTGCATGACATGATCTACAATTCAAATTCACCTGACAACTAACAGGTATAACCATCCAGAATCCAACCAGGTTGCTTTTCTTCTAGCTCTTGCAAAGATTCGAACTTATTCTTGCAACAATAGGGGCAGCTTTTCACCAACTTATGAACTTAAGAAATTGGAGTCAAACTCAGTACATACTGGCTACTTAACAAATCATAAGAAAAGTAAAATTCACCTTGTCCCACGGCATCTCTTCTATATCCACCAGGATTCTCATCAGTTCAGGGATGGCCAGGGCAGGGTGGGTGTCATTCAGCTGGATGGCAACCTGTCAGGGTAGACGTAATTAGTCAACACAGCCAATCAGAGCACATGGATACATGAGAGTGTACGTCATTACTGATTAGTCAATACAACCAATGGGAGCACAAGGAATCGTAACATCATTAGTGAACACAGAGAAACTGAGAACATGTATACCAAAATAACATGTACATCCAATGATTGTCAAAACCTAATTTAATCATTAAGATTTTGCATAATATGATCAATGAAGTTATTTTCTAAAGCAGGAATGAAAAAGCAGAACTGCTGGTCAGATTAAGGCTTTGAAAAGTTGTGTACACAATGAAAAAGCAAAAATAAAAAAATTACCTGAAATATGCAAACTTCTCTGTGAGAATGTTACATGTAGTAAAAAAGATTCTGTCCAATGATTGCATGCTGAGGATAGGAAATGTCTGAAGGACTGTTGGTACAATCCAGCTTGTGCATGTATGTGTCCTTGATTGTGAGCATGTGGTGCTTGGCAAGGGTCAGTATGACAATCAATGGACAACAACAAATGGTAGCTGATGATATTGAAAGTCATATTAAAACTCAAAATGACATACCCTGAATTTTGCAAAGCAAGCAAACAAACACATATGGATAAATAAGCTCCATATAAGAACATCTTTGCTGATGGGAACAATGTCAGCAGTTGAAATAACTTAAAAGGTTTGCAGGAACCAAAGAATGCACGGTTCACAGGTAGAAAGGCTAACCTTCTCATGAAGCTGTTCAAGGGGACTACAGATACCCTCCTCCTACAGGTGAGATGTACAGGAGACTACCATGGTTACTCCACACAGACACATGCAGTGAAGAAGCATGGAGATAGGGGGCGCATCATGACAAGTTAGAGGTTAGCTCGGAAACTAGCACACATCTTGGGGAGGAAAAAAAACTGAAGGACAGTGAGTGAAGTTAGGAAGGGTTTGAGATATAAGTGCAAGGAACATTGACGTTTCCGGTGTTTGTGATAGTCTGTAAACATACTGGGTATAATACATCACGAATGAAGTACAAGAAATACAGTAGTTGTATTTTGAAAAATGGTAATAATAAATTGGCATGACATATATAGGTATAGTCAGTGTATTCCCAACAGTAGAAGACACTGTTATTTCCTTCTCCTTTTTTCTTTCCACAGTATTTTGAAGTTTAGAGTTGAGCCTTTGCATTTGTGTAATCTAAAATGTTCCAGAAATGAAGACACCACAGAAAGCAGCATACTTCTGGTTGGAGGGAGGACACACATGTGACGGCCTTGACCTACCTTCTCCGGGAAAGCCTCAAAGTTAGTCCTGACGGGATCCCGGCAGCCAAACTTGGAGGACTTGTAGCGCCGGATGATGTCCTGTAGAGTGGCAGCCACCATGAAGTACTCCTGCTTCAGACGCAGCTCTTTCCCTTCAAACATCTGGACACAAATACAAACTGATCATGAGCACCCCCTAGCAGTTATCATGAGAACTGCACAACAGGTCACATGCTAGTCCAGAAAAAGGACAAAACACACAAGTCATAAAAAACATGATTGTATCTCTTACACTACAAGTACACTACAGTTTCAATTCTGTATTTTCCACATAACACGGAGACAAGCAGATAATCTATACCATAGGAATGAATAGGAGCAGTTTTTTTAAACATTTGAAGGAAAAAGTTACAGACTCACGTTGTCATTGGGGTACAGTACACGGGAGATGTTCTCAGCCAGGTTCCTGTCACACACAGCCTGGATGTACTCACCATCGTTAACTGTCAAGTAGGAGTACAATGCAACATGGTTAACTTTTTGCAATGATCTCCTTATGATGTTTGTCATCTTGAAAAAAGCTCATACTTAAAAAGACTACACACAAAAAAAGCATGGAAATCTGTGTAATAATATGTACAGCTGAGCAAAGTTGAGAACATAAACTCTGAGTTAAGTTTTAAGTAATATTGCCTTCAACATAAAATTTCTATAAACAGTCTGGTATCCAGCCTTGTGCAGCTGTGACAGTTGCAGAACAAATCTGCAGGAGGCTGGATACCAGGCTATTTCTACGGATGAAGACTTACAGAACTTGAGGTCAAAGTTCTTGGGCGCCTTTGCGGACCACAGCCTCATGGTGTTGACAGTGTTGTTACCATACCCAGGGATGGGACTGTCATACGGCATGGCATACACCATCTGGGGATGGCACGGGGGGAGAAAAAAATCATAAACATACACATCAAAATACTCATCAAATGTATTTGGCATCTTAAACACTACAAATGTGTATTCAAAATGGACTATACCATACCGGGACATTTCATTACATTACATTATGATAAAATCGTCTTATAGTTACAGTCAGAACAAAAGGGCAAGGTCTAGCATTGTATAACAAATAGACAGAGGGAAGGAGGCAGAGAAAGAAAGAAACTGGAGTTAAAGAGCACTGTGGACAGAAGAAAAAGAATAAAAGATAGAAAGACATAAATGATATGGCAGCAACAGTTTCTAATGTATTTTGATATCAAAGCTCTGTAACAATGAATAAACATAAAGGTGTGTAAAAGGGCACTGTAAAACAAATTGAGGAAAGACTGTGGATAGAAAGAAAAATGAGATAGATTAGCAACTGAATCAGATGTTCAACTTTAAACTTGACGCTCTGCAAGGCAAGAAATGAACATACACATCAGGAATATGCAAAGGGACTGTACAGTGGATTCTGCAAGATTATAAAGGAAGATGTGACAGCAAACTTGTCTTTTTTCACATTACAAAAACAGGTTGAACTTTATCTTGTGACCCGTACCAGTGCTTCAATGGTGGTGTCACAGGTTTTACTGTGGAAATGTGTTCACAGACCCTTGTAAAAGTACCATACCAAATAAAGAACTGCATTACTTGGGGAGGAAGAAAGAAGAAGTAACATGACAGGTATCCTGACTACGACCACCGACCTGCGTGTTGACCCATTTGTGTTTCTTGTTGCCGTCAGTTTCCACCTTGCCAAAGAAATGAATGGGGATCATGTACTCCGGCCGCGCCTTCTCCCAGGGGTTCCCGTGCCGCAGCCAATCATCCGGCTCCTCCAGCTGTTATGTTAACAACATGCAACATACCGCAGTTATGGTAACGGTTATAGTTCCAGGTTAATGTACAGGCTTACGTCTAACTCACCTGACAGTTGACCCACTTGTACTTGTCTCCTTCCCTCTCCAGGTGTCCGTAGAACTTGATGGGAATCATGAACTCTGGGCGGGATTTCTCCCACGGGTTCCCGTACTGCAGCCAGTCGTCAGGCCATTCTGTCTGATGGTCGGGGAGGGAGAGTGTGTTGTGCAGGTTTGGGGTTCAGTCACCCCACAATGTTTAGCTGATGTTATGTCAGTTGTAAGTGTAGCAGTGTATGTTATGAATCCAGATGTATACATTAAACCTCCAGTAAGTGTAGCAGTCTACATTACATTCACCAGTCTATATCACATCTTCCGTATGTGCAGCAATCTTTATTACATCTCCAGTACTAGTAGGTGCAGTAGTTTACATTACATACTGAGCAAGTGCTGCATGGAGCCACATTGTAGTTGTGTTCTGCATGTTCTGAATTCACACTTCTTTCTATGGGTATGCAAAGATGTTAGTACATCAGTGTATCTTAAATCCCATAGGTTGGTGTCCTTTTCAGTTTTACACAAGCTCAGCTAATACTACAGAAAGGGGCTAGTCTACTGGAAACACTGTATGTGTGTCATGTTCACCTTCCACATATATATATATACTCTTTTCTATGTGTGCTGGGTACTAAGTAGAAAAGCAATATTTAGTATGACTTGGTTGGTGCATCAAAACAGCCACCTACAGCATGCAAACTCTACCACTCTACCCACTGAACAGGGTAAATTCCCAAACCTTAGATTTTATTTTCAAAATTGTCATCTTGGCAAACCCACTGTAACCTAGCTCCTAGAGGGTTCTAGCCTACTTGTTATGTTTTTCACGTTAGACATGCCAATTTTGCCTAATTAAGATGATGGATAGCCCATAATTTTTGTCTGCCATTAACAACCAGATTCCGGTGCTAATGATGGAATGACAATGACATTGTGGGAAAAACCCAGGTGTACTGTCATACACCATTAGCCAATTCCCTTCTCAATGTCAGAAGTAGGATAATGTAGGATATCTTTACATACTTATCTAGTATCACCAGGGTTTATTAGTAAGAGGTACCAATTTTTACAGCAAGACTTAGTAGCAAAACCAAGGAGCAGCTTGTAGAAGAGCTATAAGTCTTCAGTTTAGTTACCACATGGTAATATTAATTCATTTAGTCTATCCCTTCTTAAATGTTAACATAGTCATCATTCATTAGTAGAAAACAATGTACACACTATATCATATTCATAATATAATTGTCATGCCATTTGAAAGAACAAATACAGTATATTGAATGAGCATCTTTTCTGTCAAATTCATCATAAAAACTCACTCAAAGTTACTGGATTCCATTCATTCATTCAATGTTACAGGCATTATACAAATTAAACCAATCAGCTGTATCATCTACATATTGCATCTTAGTAATTGCCATCCACATGCTTGAAGTTCTGATAATACCTCATGACAAGGCATTTTTATCAACCATAGATAAACAGTAGGCATGTACCATGACTCAGTACTATACATGATATCCAGACATATAAACATGGGGAAAATTTATGGTAAAGCAAGCAACCATGAGAATAAAACTCTTTGGAACACTGCATACCCATACTACAGTATTATGCTAGACAGTCCTATAAAATAACAATGTTAAGATATTTCATATTGTTGTTATAAGAACTTGTGGTTACCTGCCAGCCATCTTGAATCTTCTGAGTGAAGATTCCGTAGTCGTATCGGATCCCGTAACCGTACGCAGCCAGTCCCAGGGTGGCCATGGAGTCCAGGAAACAAGCTAGAGTGGCATTTTAGGGTAGAATTATAGTATAATGTTAATAATATTTTATTATATGAACCTTGGAATTACCTGTAATATTCTTTAACTCTAGGTGCATGTAATTTTAGAAAAAGTATGACTTTGGAACTATGTGTAGCACGTACAATTTACAAACTTGTAACAACAGTTCCCTACTAAACTGGACCATTAACAAGTGGCATGAAATTGACAGTTCCATCATGATCCACTCCATTTCACCATGTTTTCATGTACAGTATGTGGTGTTGGCCATATACAGCCACAGCCTTAATGTCACTTCAAAGCTGGGCTGTGACAGGCGAACTTCTACCTCAACCCTTCTAAACACACTCAAATGGGTCCCAGTGGTTGAAATACATAAGAAAAGTAAAGCTACTCTGGTCTATAAAGCTATTAACAGTTTGACTCCTTCCTACATCACTGCAATGTTCACCCAGTTATCACACGTGCATACTCACAACACTCGCCTCAGGGCGCAAGGAGGTCTTCAGTTGCCAATGTCTAAGCTAGAATACAGAAGACGTGCCTTTTCTTCGTCTGGGGCGGTATTGTGGAACACACTACCACATCACCTAAAAGTAGCCAGGACCCTAGCAGCCTTCAAGCAATCTTATGTACTGGGCAATCATTGATATGCAAATTCCAAGCCTGATTTTAATCTTGATTTCTTTTTTGTCCTACCTTGGTTCTTTGTTATATGATGGTCAGGCTTCACTTTTGTTTCACTTATTTTGGTATTATGATTTCATGCGCAATGTATGCTACTTAAGTTACCTTGCTTTTGTATTATTTAGTAACTTTTGTAACTTTATAAGTTACTTTTGTTGATTATTTGTATTAGTTTGAGTTTGATGTTTTTGTTTGGGGTCTTCCCCAGGCCCAGGGCTCATTGAAAAGCGCCCCACGGGCGATATGTATCCCCCTGGTTAAATAAATAAAAATAAACAAACAAACAAACAAAGCTCTTTCTCCCTGGCTTCAGGCCAATCTTCTAGACCAGGGATAGTCTCAGCTCACATTAAATATCCATCAGCATACTTTCTCTGCACAGAGACACCCTCAACAAAAACATTCGAGGGTCCTTAACAATAACATTAAGGCTATGCAAAGTATGCAGGTTTTGACCTATGACCTACCTGCAAGTCTGCCCAGACCACCATTGCCCAGTCCTGCATCTTCCTCTATCTCCTGTAGTTCTTCTATATCCAGTCCAACCTGACAAATATAATGTACAGTCTGTATTATCTAGAGAAGCTATCATGATATGTGATATGGACTGTATAACAGTGTGCAAGGGTCCCAAGGGGATACAAAGTCAAAGTTATGTTTCTAATGGTATAATATTTCATATTAATGATTTTAGACACTGTCTAATATATTACCTTTCACAACAGCCACTGTTACAGTTGTGAGTTCTGTGACAAAAATCTAGGTCAAACATTCTGATGTTGAACACTGTTGCCCTTGTGTTTTTTTGCAAAAACTGTCATAAAATCATATTTGGCATATATATTCTCCTTACTAAGAGAGCAATGAAAATCTAGTTACGTCCACATCAAAGCAGCAAATTTGACAGCGATAAAAGGTTTAAGGTACAAGGGTCCTTAGAGACTTCCTCATGATCTTTCGATCACGCCATTTTATCTTGCTTCTGTGCATGCTGGGTTTGATGTACTACGTGATCCAATTACCCAAATGGATGCTTTAGCAGGCATGCAAGAAACATTAAAAAAAGGCAGTCTTTCGTAAACAGGAATCCATCTCCGAAATAGTTTGATGCAGTACTGCGTTGTAACAAATTACAAGCTGTGACTGTGTGTGTGAGATGGCAAATTGCCGGGATAAACGACATTCCCCAGCACTGGGCATCCCTCCAGTCAGCATAATTTGCTCTTGGCACACTATAGCCACCCATGTAACATTACACTACTTACTACCATGTAACATTACACAGTATATAAATATATACTTTTATACACTCGCAGTCTGGCTCAATTGATCGTGAACAGGTGGAGCTTCAGAATCTGTAGCAAGACTTTGTATCAGGATAAAACCAACTTTAAGTTTACATTTTTGATATCAATGATTTGCTGAGATTTCATAAGTCATAATTTAAGTCATAATTTAATGTATGTTACACCTATTCCTATACAACCATTTGCCAAGTAGAGCGAAGGTTATATGTGCATATTGTTACATTGTGCAGACTGAAAGGCCATTTAGGTTACAGTTTAAAATGGAGAACTGAAGCAGTACCTTTTTCCATGAATGTTCGACTCACTAAGACTGGAGAAGCACTGGGTACAACAGGCTGTGGGAATGTGGGAACATTCGTCCTTACCCTATTTTTCAAAGTGGGAAGTTCATGTTAAGTGCCTTTCCTAAGGGCACATAACACTGGGGCCTGTTGGGGGTTTGAACCCAGTGAGAGTGCCTGAGTGAACTCTAGACTCTGGACCCAACACCCCACACCAGAGTCAACTGGTAATGGTATAGTTCCGTGAATCATGAGGTGATAGTACTAGTCTCACCTGATACATAGCCTCGTCGCAGGCCCCCTGGATGCCCAGGTTGATCATGGTATTGCAGAGGGCTCGCCCCATGTAGTACTCCAGGGACAGGTAGTAGATACGCTGTATGTACAATAACCACAAAAATGTTTGTCAATTTATAGACAACACAGGGGGACAAACAAGACAGTCAGAGCATGGAGTTAATCTCTTTTCTAGCTCCATGCTCAGAGATAGCAGACTTCACCGCTTAATATCCATACTGCTTTGCAACCATTCCAGTCCCCAAAACATACTGTATTGGATATATTGGGAATTATAGAAACACACAGACACATACACACACAGACTGACTGACAATACAAAAAATATATATTTCATTCCCTTGGGGCAAAGTAACCCATCAAAAATAATCAATGTCTCTCTTAAGTTTTTTACCTAAAAGTAAAGTTAAACCCTTTTCAGGGTTCACACCACAGATACAGATCGCACTGTTGTTGTGAATTACCAGTAGTGTAAAGTAATACATGCACAACTTTTGTTTGTGGGTCAGTACATGTTCACTGAACCAACACGACCCAAGGCCATACGGTTTTTCATGTTCCCACCCCGTAGGTCATGTCAACAATCCCTGCCCATACAAACACTGCACCTTTGTACAGGAAAGATATACTGTTTAACATTACACAGATTGGGGCTCAAGGCACTCAGTGTTGCTCCCAAACCTTTCCGGTCATAAATTTTGTCTCACTATATAAGTGCTAAGGTTACCTCCTTGATCTTGTTATAAAGTTTGGGCATCGTAATTACTACACATTCAAAATGCTAGGGTTAACACAACTTTATGTAGTACATTTATGTCTTTCTTGCTAATTTACTATATTATCTTATAGTATAGCAGACTATGAAGCTTCTACTCATGATAAATAATGAATCATTATCTTAATGGTGTGTTATGCCGAAGGGCAGTTATACCAGCTATATTGATACAGATACAGAATCACCTTGTATACATGCAACAATCATCATATTTTGGGAGTGGGTTAGAGTGGAATTACTATATATGCATCTTTCTTTCTATTCGGGATGGTTTGCCCTAGAAGGCCTGGGGCAGTAGTGCATATATGACATATACACAGCCACGTAATATATGTACCAGACACTGCCACATGCATGGAGAATGTGGCAGATTCATCAGTGGACTCTTCCAAATTAACATTTCTAACCTTCACTACCTGAAGGTCAAATAAATTTAGATCCATGGGCAAGGAATGCCATGGCATGTCATCTGTTTTGCGAATTTCAATGAAAACTCAAGTTTGATTGAGACAAGGTTTGAAAGTACCACCTGTTAATGTTTTTTTTCATGATGGACACTGTAATGACTGATGTGTTAGACAGGAGTGCCCTAACACAAGGCTGCTGGCCTCTCATTGGGTGGTATAACAGGTTGACTACATGCGACCTATTTTATTATCAGACAGGCTGACTGACGTTTTTTTGCACACCTGTAGATTCAGACAAAAAGATGTAAGTCAAAGGACAAGACAATTGTTATTTCCTACCTCTCTTCCTCATCTTTTTATGTCCTTTTCACAGGAAATATTATTTCTGTTACTGGCAACATTTTGGACAGAGGGATCACCAGCCCAACATGTAACAGTGCATTGTCCGAATATGCTCTTGACTTGGCCCTCTGTTGGCCCTTACTCTCAATCAAAAAGTTTGATGTGATCTCAAACATGCTTGAGGTTTTCTCAAGTACAAAACTGAAGCTTTGATGCTTATATTTGCACATACTGCATATGATGTATAATGAAGGAAACTATATTTGGCACAAAGCCACCTTTTACAAATTTCATACAGTCCATGTTGGAGACAAGGACATTTATCCTGATTATTATGTCCATGGTGAGTGAAACAGGAGTTTGTAAAAACCTTATCTGAAGGTCAAACAGGACAGGCTACTAGTAATCACCTTCAACTGCACTTTGTCCCCAACAGACACTAAAGATTATCATAAATTCTTTATTGCAGCTGAGCTAAAGGTTATCTGAGGGGTGAGGACTATTGGGAATGACCATGTGTGTGCATGTACATTATGTACAGAACATCTTATGATTTTTAGACTTTTTTTGTGTAAAATTTGTACAAGATTCAACCAAGGGAAAGTGCACTTATTGAAGTTCTTCCCTTGTTGTTGCTCAAGAAAGTGATATGTGTGTGTTGGTATACTAGTAATGTACATGTACACCTGGCTATGTCATCAAAAAAAGACATCCAAAAGGTCTTTTTCACCCTCTTAATCACTAGCAAACTATTGAATTAGTTTTGTAAAATCAATACCATCAAAAGGTGAGCATTGTCTGTTAACTGATTAATCTATTGTTTTGGTAATAGCTGTCGTTTTCACCTCCATTCAGACATTTTGCAGGACGCGTCCAAAGCCTATTGACTTTTTGTAACCTAAATCCAAAAAGCCATACTTGTTTACATGGAAAGCATCAGCTGATATTGTTGTACCAGTGCCTTCTTTCCGGTGTTTCTGGAACACTGTCTGCTGATGTATATCATGATATTATCTCTAGTGCAGCAAATCACAATTCTTTGCAACATGCATACTTCAAAATGGTGCTGTACAAAACTACTCTATTATCAAAAGAGAACCTATTTCTAACGACATATTCACAAAAGAGTAAAATACAGCGTCTGTATATGATCTATTTTGAGTTTTGGCAGTCTTGTTCATTCTATACCTACCAGCCCTAAGACCAGTGTCTAAAAGTACAGAAGAATCACAGAGCCTATCTAACCAGAATTGTCAAAGGACAAGGGAAAATCCTAGTTCAATCTTGCCAAGATGTTAGTTTCAGCGTTAGCGTGAAACCAGAAACCCCAGGTCAAGCCAATGACCTTCGAAGCTTCCCTGTCCACCAAAAATAGCCTCTATATAATTTTTCATTTTCAACCTCCCTAAATCCTAACTTAGAGCGTGCAAAATACATGCATGTATCAATATCTAGACCTTAAGCATTTCAATGAGTAGGTTTTAAATGGTAATAGATAATAGATACTAGAGAGCTAGGATAATTTGGTGGGTAACGCCCCCAAACACCGGTGTTGACACCGGCAACCACCAGGCCATGTTCTCATGTTTCCTGGTTTAGCTGTAAATCACACAACTGTCGTGATATGTCGTAAATTCCGACAATTTCTACAATCCTGGCAGTTTTTAAGTCTACGTGGAAATATGGGAAGTTTTGATTATGTCATATAGGTGTGTAGCAATTCATAGATATACGCAAGGTTCTTATGAAAGCCACGTATATCAACACATCACAGCAGTCTGTACACAAAATTAAATAAACCATCAATTCAAAATCATGGATTATTATATAAGCTTTCATAGGTCTATTTAAAGCTTCAATATCATTCCATAGAGTTTATATGTCCATCTGTGTGGAAAACGGACCTGACGTGAGTTCTAATGAAAGTTTAGTGAAGACGAATAATTTGGGAAACAAGCGACATGCAAATTTTTATGTCGTCGACCTTGCTTCTGCGGAAGTCACCAGGAAACCCTTAAAATAGCAACAGGGTTGCAATGTTTCAAACTCAACCTCTCAGTTTACACTTCAATACACGAAAATCATAGCAGGGGGAAGAGATGTAGACTGGAAGTGAAATTGTTGTTCCTTGCAAAACGAGAGTAACAGTTTGTCATTGAAAACCCTTGAGGGTCACCCCTCCTCCCACGTCACGTTCCTGGCCTTTCCCGGCGGCGTGCCTGGCGACCGCGACACGTACGGCACAGACGACATGTTCGATCATTCCTCCCCACAACACACGGAGAATAATGCACACACTAAACTCACCTTGGGGTCCTTCTCGTAGTAATACTGCTGGGTTCGGATCCACCGACCCACAAGGTTATCCCGAACCGTGTGAGCCAAGGCGAAAAAGTAATCTCTGGGAGTCGCCACATTTCGATCCTTGACCAAGGTAAAATGAAGGTGACGGTTGAACGCCTTCTTGAAGTTGGTGACGTTCTCGACCTGGGCGATCCCTCGAACGCTGATCTGCTTGCGTTTCTCGTGATCTGACTGGAGAACAGAGGCCATGTTTGCCCGGTATGTCTAACGGGGTCCTCTCGCCTGTTCACCCGGCAAGATTCACCTGAGAGAGCACGGCCTCGCTTTCATACTCCAATGCTAGACTGTACCAAATAAAATAGGGGGCAGACTTTTATGACAAATTGGCCAAAGAGACATTGCAACGTCATAAAAATGTAACAATGAATTTCATATAACAATTGTTATAACTTGATAACGCTAGTAAATACAAGTTTCATTCCTTATTTTCCTATATTTAGGGTAAATAATCAAATCTTATCTCCCTACATTTTAGGATCATGGTATATCTCACTGAATTACTAGATACGGTCTAGCATTTAGACTATACTAAAAAAGAGGGGTAAATATCTTTTGTAAAAAATAACCTGTAGCACATTCAAACGTCATCAATATGATGATTCTTATGCCTGTCATTGCATCATAGTAAAATTATAAATTGCCCAAAAATTTTTGTAATATACCTCTTTGTCCATCATATAGATGATAAAAATTGTGACGTACCCTCCCTATAACTGAGGACTATGGTATGGTCTACTGAATACTAATGAGCTGCAGTCTGCTACAGTCCAACATGGCTGCCACGAGGAAAAAAGTTGCACCAAAAAATGAAGAAACATCGGATTCTGGCTCAGAATCTGAAGAACAAGACGACTTTACATTGGACGATGTTTTAAAACTTGGTGGAAATAAGGTATGGTTTGTTAAGAATAGATAGTAGGTTGCTTACGGTAATATTTACGCCAAATTTATATCGTGACATGTTGTGAGATGCCCACGTTTTTGCACACCCTGCCCTCCCCCTTTTTACAACTTTGCAAAAATGATTGGAGGATGAAGCAAATGGACATGGAATTAGTAGAAGAGTATCTAGATTTGTAATTTATAAAGAAATAAATATAGGTTATTAGCAAACTCTTTTCATACAACTTTTGTTTACATAATATTATTTGCTGCACGTGTATTACTAATACAAAATGTGTTCTTCTGTCATCAGGGTGACTACAACACCCTGAGGATGATAGATGAGACCCAGGACGTGTTAGAACTCCCACAGGATGAAGGGAGTGATGTAGAACCAGATGAGGTAAAGACTTGAGAAGATGGTAATGTATGGTAAAGACATAGCCACTTGAACTACATGTAACTGTTATTAGTTCTAGTTGAATGCAATGTGTGACTCATGACTTTTATTCTCAATGTAACTCTTAATTTAACTGTTGTTCCTTTTTTCAGATCAAGGCAATGATACAGAAGTTGGGATTAGACAAGCTCAAAGCCCCCAGTGAGAAGTGGTAAGTTGTATTTATCAACATATTAAAGGTGTAACAAACTTGACAAATGTCTGCCTTAGTCTATTTTCAGTTACTCAGGTTCAGTATCAACAATCCCCAACAAATGATTGATCTCTAATTCCAGGGAAGAAAAGGAAGAGCTGCCAGAAACAAGCAGCCATGAAGAAGAAGATGAAGACAGGCTGACCACAGAAACACCAGCAGACACAGCTGATGTCCAAGTGAGCGAGGTGTCCAGTTCATCCCAGACACAGGAACAGAAGAAACCACTGGGAAAGTTCATTATAGCTCCAGGGGAGAGGTGGTACCAGACAGAGGTTAGCTCCAGATATTCTTACCTATTATTCTTTAAGCAGCTCAATACAGTTATGTGCAGGTTCTTAAATGGTTCTTGCAATGACTGTTAATAATCCATGCATTTGTGCCAGGACAAAGGATTTTGTTGAGAGGAAAATGCAAAAATGATATAACCTCTACATAACCTCTTTATTCCTCTTGTTTGTATCATTCATCAGTTCCCAACAGACCCGACCACTTGGCCCACAGTGAACCCAGCAAAAGCAGAGCAGCTGAAAAGAGAGGCAGCTAAGTTGTTTGAACAGGAAGTCAAGCAGCACAATCAGTGTAGGTTTTCTTTTAGAACAGTCTGGACTCTGGAACTTTCATTTTGCTGCACAGTTTGTCTGCTTACAGTAATGTTTGTCTGTAGCTAACCATTAGATATGACAAGTTTTGATCTCTTTATTGTTGATTATTTACTGTAGTGAAAAACAAGAAGAAGAGTTCAGATTTTGGCTGGCTGAAGACGGTGGCCACCGCGGGAACGTTGGCGGACAGAGTGGCGGGACTGACCGTGCTGATACAGGACGCACCGCTGCACAACCTGGCCAGTCTGGACACACTGGTCAGCATGGCCAAGAAGAAGATGAGGAGGGAAGCAACACAAGCTGTCGGTGAGTCTTGCACAGGACAATTTCTTGCTTTGTCATTTGCTAAATTTTCCAATTGCAGAACACCAATATCCCACCAGTGAAGTTGTCAACTAAAAAAATAGATAGAAATAAATAAATAGAATAAATAAAAAAATAACACTTAAAAGGTTCAAATCATTTCCATATGTAACCATCATATTAGCATCATAATTGCACCCAGTTTTTTTATGTATGCCTGGCTGTATTGCACACTTCTAGTTCCTTTACACTTATCATGAATATGCCAATTTGCATTTGCTATTTTTGCCCAGACACTTTAAAGGAGCTCTGGTTGTCTGACCTCCTTCCTGACAGGAAGTTGAAAACCTTTGAGCAGGTAAGTCAAAGAAGTACAGTAAAGACTAGGTTGTTCTTTTTTTGTATATTGATAAGAGATATTTGAGCCTTATCAGAGGTTAGTGAGGAAATGCATTCTTTTATCTTACATGTAATCGTGACATCCCAGTGTGTCCAAAATCTAGCATGTTACATTATAACGTAACATTACATTCTTACTGTGTAGCATGTAAATTTGCCAGTTGTAGTTTAAAGATAAATCCTATAGTTCAGTAAGTTACTAACATGTTTCCTCCCCCCCCTCCCCCATCAGCACCCCCTGTCTGTATTACCTGAGATCACTGGTGGGAACCAGGAGGGGAGGAGGAGAAGACTGATCATGTGGTACTACGAGGACAGGGTTAAACAGTTATACGCTGAGTTCATCTCAGCTATACAGGTGGGGCCCATGTATCTCCTACAATAGTTCAACTCTGCCAGGATTTAGAAGATAATATTTTTGTTTCTGAAAATGTGAAGGACTTAAAAATTCCTAATGCCATTTTGACATTATGAATGCTGTAGAATAGTAATGAATTGATAGCTCCAAGGTATCAAAGTGCTTTGCGTTAGAAATGTCACGGTTATCACATATAACTTAGAGATATAAGAGCTAATCAACCGATAATATCATGCTGACCCTTGTATCAGATTATAAAGCAGCATCACAGTACAATGTATGTATAGTTTCTATAGAATGAATGAAAGTCTTTCTCCACACATAATTTGATTAGGCCCCCTTGGCATTGCACAGTCTGTCCTTTCATAATTTGATAATGAACACTGTGAGTCTGTGTGTGAATTAGATTTGTACTGTTACTACATCCGTAATGGAGGCGTTGTTTGATGAAGCAATTTACTTGAAGCATACATTTTTCTTTTCAGACTCTAGCACATGACACTGTGGAAACAAACAAGTCTAAAGCTCTAGGTAAGAAGTGAACAGCTCTTTCAGACACAAAAAACAAGATAAGCTACAGAACGCTTCCAATAAATGGTTGCATCATTTAGTGGAATTTTTCAGATAGTTAGAGTAAAATAAATCAAACAAATTTTCAATAAATGATCAGACTTGATTGGTGAAAGAATGGGGACCGTTCTCCACACCTACTTGACTTTGTTTAATATCCCTGTTCTACAGGTACAGTTTTAGAACTTCTGAGTAACAAGCCAGAACAAGAGAAGGTTGGTACTATCAAAATTGTCCTATGATAGTTGACTTATGGTTGCTCTTAAAACATACAAACTTCATACCTACAGTTTCATAGAAGTCATCAAATTACAGTGTTAATTGAACATGCAGATAGGACAGCTTTTGAACAGTTATAAAGTATAATTCCCCCTTAATGAAATGATGTTTTCTCCAGGTCCTGCTAGAATTACTGGTAAACAAGGTCGGTGACCCTGACTACAAGATTGCATCCAAAGCAGCACATCTACTGGGAAAACTGGGTAAGACAAACTGAATGTGAAAAACTTGTGTTTCTTTTGTTGTAAAAGCATCATTCCTAGAATTTCAGAACAAATGTATAGAGTCTTGATGATTTTAAATAATCCATGTGTAATTTCTTCCCTGTTCCCAGTGACTATCCACCCCAATATGAGGCTAGTGGTGGTGAGAGAGGTAGAGAGACTGTTATACAGACCCAATGTCAGCGACAAGGCTCAGTATGTTTGCTTTCTTTGTGGTCGCTTAGCACAGGAACTATTTATGTATAAAAGCACCTTCCCTGTACATTTATTTCTGCATTAGCACCATGTGTTAGTACTTGTCTTATTTGCATAAGACTAAGTTATATACTTTTAGACTGATGCTTGGCACAACAGAATTTGTCTTGCTCTTGTCCAATGTCACCTCTCTTAATTCCACCTGGTACCTTAAGACTATCACTTTAAAAAAAGCAGTACCCGGTTATTCAAGACATTGTTAAGAAGACCTTGAGAGCAAATTTTTTTATGTTGATGTTGATGATATGGACAAAATACATACCTATAAGATTTAAATTAAGAAGGTGATACACATGTATTTTCAATTGCTCGCACATTTTTTATTTGCTCATACAAGTATTGGTAGCAGCTCTTGTATATGAACCATATGTGTTACTGTGAGAGTGATTTTCTCTTGTTTATTTATGGATGTTGCTACATTCCAGGTACTACAGTATGTGTTTCCTGAACCAGTTGGTACTGGATCATGACAGTAGTGAGTTAGCCAACAAACTGGTCACCATCTACTTCTCATTCTTCAAGGTAAGCCATGTGGGACTGGTGTCTATACAATGTGTTGGTCTTTTTTATTGCTTTTTTATGTGACTGTTTAGATGATAAAATAATTCTATTTCACTGCAAGTAGTTGCCCTGTAAGTTGAGGATTTTTCATGCTCACATTTGAATACATCATGTACCGATTTTGAGATCATAATTGCAAGAAGTGATGATTTTTTTATAGTAGTCACATAACCTGTAGTTTGTATGAAAGTCACTAGGAGGCACTAGATGACTGTCATCTCCGCATATCTAATGTATTATGAATCCCATGCCAGGTGTATGTACAGAAGAAAGAAAAGGACACTAAAATGTTGAGTGCACTACTGACTGGTGTCAACAGGGCTTTCCCTTATGCCAACGGTGGGTTACAACTTTGATATCTTATTTCTCTAAGAATTTTTGATAGATATCCATATATAGAACTAACAGTCTTGAATTGATACTAGATGATTATCAACATTAAACAAATATGACAAAAACTATAATTGGAAGTGTCAATGTTTTTCCAAACTTCACTTTGAATACATTTCTTCCATGACAGTTAAAGATGAGAAGGTTGATACTCAGATCAATGAGCTGTTCAAAGTGGTACATGCTGTGAACTTCAACATCAGTGTACAGGTATGTGTGGTATTTACATACATGTATGTGAATCAGACAGCATATCACATGATGTCAAACATTATGTATACTTAGTGTTCACACACTTAAGCTGAAAATGTTTTAGTCTCTACAAGGTGTATGGAGGAAATGTTAGATTAGTTATTTTTCTTGTCAATGTTTAAGACAAGATACGTTTTAGTCCTTAAAGTTCTGTACATTTTTTTACATCTATTAGGCACTGATGCTTCTCTACCAGGTCATGGATTCCAGGTGAGAATCTTCTCTGTGTTAACTCTACATGTATGTGTTTGAATACTTGTCCTCAGTTATTGATAGCATGTTTGATATTAAACATAGGGTAACTATGCTGTATCGTCGCAATGGGAGGCTTCCTTCATTATGAAAGTTAGATATAAATTTTTGTACTGACAATTCTTTGATGCTGACGCTGCTGTTTGTTTGCAGACAGGCAGTGTCAGACAGGTACTACACAGCCCTGTACAGGAAACTGTCTGACCCTGAACTGAAGCACTCGTCCAGACAGGCCATGTTCCTCAACCTGCTCTACAAGTCTGTCAAGTCTGATGTTACCTTCAGGAGAGTCAAGGTCAGGGTCACATGGGGGTACAGTCATAGTCAGTAGTTGGCAAGGTAGTCTTGTGGTTAGGGTTGTTAGTTCAGAATTCAAAGCCATGGCAGGCCCCAGTGTTGTGCCATACAATCATAGAAGGCAATTTGAATGAAATTTTTTTATAGAATTTTCTACAAATGCAAAATTCAGACAGACTTTTTGTGTCTGTTTTTGTGTCTTATCTAGACTTAGACTGCTTAACAGAATTTTTTTTTCAACTGCTTAACAGAATGGTAAATTGCTAAACAGATGTAAATTTATGAGATTGCTTGTCTCTAATCTAAACTACTTTTCTTCTTTGTTTAGGCCTTCATAAAGAGAATACTACAAGTCTGCTGTGGTCAGCAGCCATCCTTTGTATGTGGTGCTTTGTTCTTAGTATCAGAGGTGAGTGGGTCTTTTTCTCCAAAGGAGGTTGTGATTTGATCCAGCTCCACACAAAATTCCATGTTGAAATTTTCAAGGAAATGTTCTATGCTGTATGGTGATGATGTAACATAATACCCACATGCATGTGGTGAAGTTGTGTTTATTTATTTGTTTTGCAGATTGCAAAAGTCCATCCAGGGCTGAGAACAGTCACCCTGGCCACAGAGGTGTGTATTATCAAGATAAAGGTTTACTGTAACGTTTGTGCACAACATCTGACAATATGATAGTCTTAGACCAACAGCATTTTCTCAAGTAAGAAAACAATTCAATTTTTTACTCCATGTAGGAGTCAGATGATGAGGAGCATTTTGAGGATGTGGAGTTACCAGATGAAGAGGCTGCAGTAGAAGATGGAGAACAAGATGAAGTGAAAACAGAAAGTACAGAAGAGCAGAAAGAGGAGGTCACAGTACCATCTCAACCTGGTGCATCATGGGTACACAGACTAGGTCAGTCATACTGCTACTTTGACTTTTGGCTGATCCATTATAAAAATAAGGGGGTGAAGGACAATTGATAAGTGATAGATTTAGCACCATTATGATAGTATATTTTTCATTGTGTACACATTGTCATTTGTGTTATGCCACTGTTGATCTCACAAGTAATTTCTGACCGTGCATATTTTTGGCAACACCTCTGGAATGGAGCCATAATCCAACATTCCCCCCTGTAGGTAAAGGCAAGGTGACGTCATCCCAGTATGACCCCCAGGGTAGGAACCCACTGTACTGTGGTGCAGATGGGAGCTGTCTATGGGAGTTGTGTAAGGTATTTACACCATCACAAACAAGTCTTCCTTTTCTATGGCAAGATTGAAGATTCACACAGTAAAAGCATTTTTGTTGAAGTTTAAAAAAGCAACATTTCTTGTAACTGACTTTATCATGAGTTTTCAAATAGTCTTTCTTAAAACTGACAATGTTTCTTTTCTTGTTCACAGCTAGCCAACCACTTCCATCCATCAGTAGCTCTGTTTGCTAAAAAGATCCTTGATGTAAGTTATACATCATATAGTTACCGGCAGTGTATTTCTAGTACTTCTGAACATTGAGGTTTGCTTTGTCTAGTTATTTGTGTTCAGTCTTACCAGGTTGAAAAAGAATAATGGTGCAGTATTACATTGTACCAGCTGCTATACTGTTGTAGTCTGCTAGGGGGTATCTATGAAGGCTGCTATTGCAAATTTAATGGCTGCACATCTCAGAATCTTTACCTCTAAACTTTCTTGTTGCCCATGTTAAAGGGTGAGGTGATCCAGTACAGTGGGGACCCTCTACAGGACTTCACCTTAGCAAGATTCTTGGACAGATTTGTCTTCAGAAATCCAAAACAAAGAAAACAAGGTAAGAAATGTAGAAATAACACATTTGTTAGCACTAGAGAAGTCTTTCTGCTGAAGGGGTTGATAACCTGTTGAAAAAAAGGTACAGGTGCAGTATTACCTTGTAGTAGCTGCAGTACTGTTACTGTCTGCCAGAGGGAACGTATAAATTGTTCTATTGCAGATATGAAGGCATCACATTTGAATAACTTTTAATAACAAATTGAAGTATTTCAATCTTACAATGACCTGTTTTGTTTCTGTTGTGTACTTGTACTTCTTTGTCTCCAGAGTATTTCTCTTTACACATCTGTGTTTTTCCAGACCCCGGTCAGTCAGTGATGCAGCCAAAGTCCACCAGATTTGAACCCAGGGGAGTCAAAAGGTTCCCAGGTAAGGCCTCACTCTAATGCATTAAAGGTGCCCTAAGCGATATCTGGCCGATAGTAGGCTGGGAGCATTAAATTTCAAAAGTCTGTCTTTTTGTCACATTTTCACGCAGTATGTTGAATCAACCCTATCCTATCCCATACCGATAGTCATGGAGCAAAAATTCGATGCCGCTTTGCCGTACGAACGCCGTGAAAAACTACGTGCCTCCCGCCACCGGCAGTGGTGTCGGCCATTTTTGAAATTTCCGAGCGCTCGCGAACACTTCCGACTTCTTCCGACCAGAGCCGAGGACGAGTCACGTGGTTAACCACGAACGCGCTGAATCAGTCGAACTGCAGGTCATCCTGAGTTTCCGCTACATATTGATACATTTCGCGTAATGTCATAAAATTCGTTTCCGTTGGTATGAGAAACTGTATGAATGTGGCTACCACATGCGATATAATAAGTGTTATGATAACATTCAAGTATATACAAAAAGAGGAATTGAATACAAGGTTCTGACCATTCAAAAATCGTCAAATTTGAAGTCAATCGGTTTCGAACTCTTGCGTTCGATCCATGGAACCAAGGCAGCGCGTTCCATTTTTCGCGGAAGTTCCCGAAAATTGTCGACGGGAAACGGTTACTTGGTGGATTTTTGGGCCGATTAAATGGAGGCCCCGATAAATCAAGCAACTTGTCTCTGGGCTAGTTTCTGTGCTGCTTCAAACGCCAAACGTATGAAATAATGATGCAAATGTGCTGATACTTGGTGGTATGTGTCAATACCATACAGATTGTCTTGTTCTAAATATTTCCTATTTTAATGCCCTGATATCGCTTAGGGCACCTTTAAGAACAACACTTGTATGAGACCTGTCATTTTTGCTTGACACATAATATTTTCCATACTACATGCAAAAAATCATGAAAATTTGCTCATCCTTTCTTTAGTTAGCCCCTTCTAAGATCCTGCAGTTCCAAACTGGGCTGCTAGAGGTCCCAAACCTATACCCACTACTTTTGAGTCACATCAAACTATTGTTAATCCCACAGTGAACAGTGAGGAGTTTCTCCAGACGGAAGAACAGAAGATTCCTGTTGATGAAGTCTTCTTCCACCGGTGAGAGTCAACAATGAACCTCCCCCTTCAGTATATAGCACAAATTTGTGTACTCAAGTGAGATACTTCAGAGTTGGACTTTATCAAACTAAGGCATGTTTCAACTCAATGTTGTAGAATTGCCCTGATTTTCCTGTTTATTATCCAGAATGTGATGAAGTATTTTAAATTTCACCAAAGGTTCTTCTCCAAGAGAGCTGAGTTTGGCAGGAAGGCGACAGACGGTGACAATGACAGTGACATTGAGAGTGTGGGGGACGAGGAGTTTGATAGGATACTGGGTAGGGATGGATACATGCAGTGTTAAACACATACACATGCACTGTGATATCTTCTAGTGTAGCAAATCACCTCTGACAAAGCAAGCCAATTTGACAAAACTTCAGTGTAACACTAACAGTCGTAAACACTTAGAATATGGGAACTGTGCACTGATGCACAGCATTCCTCAGAATTCAATTGTTATTGCCCTTGATATTCATATTTGAATATTTTTGTAGGAACCAGCATACGTTGTGGATTTCTTTTACAGAATAGTGTATATAATCAGCAAAGGAGTTCATGAGATCATGTGGTTAGTGATGAAAATGTTGATACAACACAGGGCCTGGCTGTCATCAGCTTAGCATGGTTACTTTGACTCTTATGAATAAATTATTAAGTCCTGTTTTGTTTCTAAGAATTGATATGCCATCATGTATGATTCCAATCTCTCACATCACCATAATTTTGATTGTCATTTTCAGATAAATTTGAAGGAGATGAAGAAGATGAAGACCTTGGTATGGACTTTGCCAGGTATGGATATAAGAACAGCCCTCAGAAATATATGATTCTTACTCTTTAAAAATTCTATAATATAATGTTTTGTAATATACATGTAATATGATATTCTGTAATTTATCAGTCAATTGCCATATTTTGAATGTTCACAGTGAGTTGACACGTAATAAAAGAAAGGGTAAGAAGAAGGGAGAGGAGGAAGAGAGTGATGATGATGATGATGATATGATGGAGGAGGATGACCTGGATGATGATGATGATGATGATGATGGGGAGGCATGGGGAGAGGAGGAGGAGGAGGAGGATGGGGAGGAGGCAGGTGTGTTCATGGACCCTGCTGAGGAGGACATGTTTGCAGCTGCTCCAGATGGCAGTGATGAAGGTGGGGAGATATTTATGTACATGTAGTTTATTAGAAATTAAAACACATTGTCTAAAGTACATTGCAGCTCCTCCTGTAAAGTGGTGCACATCAGGCACAGAAAATACATTAATGAAAACTAAGTAGTGAAAACTAGAGATGTCAATTGATAAAAGAACTAAGATACACAATATGAATAAAACATTGACAAGAAATGACCATTATTATATGTAATTGAATGGTACAAGCTTTCTGACCTTTGTTTTTTGTACTTCCAGAGTTCAGTTATGATGACATGGATGAGATGTCCTTCTCTGAAGAAGAAAATGGTAAGAGCAGGAAGCTGGTCTGTTGAAATGTCACTTTGTAATAAAAATTATACCCCATACAAGACTAGACAATGGTAGGGGGAAAGAAAAATAAAATCTGCTATGCTGCCTTGGCAGGTAGGAGGTTAACCTCTTCAAATGTTGTATTTAATCAAAATTTGTACTGCAAAGTAGGATCACCACATCTAGACACAATCATCCTCTCATTTCTCCAGATGATGAGGTTGAAGCAGCTGGACCAGCCAAACAGGGCGGGAAAAAGGCAGCTAAGAAGAGGAAAGCAGGAGGTGATGGTGATGATGATGATGATGATGAGGGTGTGGACTTTGTTGCTGCCATGGCAACCAAGCCCAAGAGGAAGAGGAGGAGAGGGAAGTTACCAGGGGTGGGCAGTGGCAGTATGTTTGCAGCAGCAGAGGAGGTGAATGTCAACTGTTAATCATATACTAATGCATGCTTCAAACCATAATGCAATCACTAGAACTGACAGTTTTTGTTTGACGTGATGTCTAACTTGCAGTCCAGATACCGGGCTGCCCCGTCTGTGGGTTGTCTCGGACTGAAGGCTGCATAGACTAACCTGTGTGCCTTTTACCTCTGCTCGCCCTTCACATGGGCATGTAGCGTTACGGGTGCCCCACAACTGCTGCTTCGTACTACTGTAGATATCTGTGGTTTTCGTAGGAGATTAATTTTGCTGTGGGAGGGGGAAAGGATATTTTAGTTTGGGGTTAATGGTTGAAACAATTCTGTAGTACAGTAGTAGTACACTATACTACATACTAGTATGTAGTACAGTAGTAATACAATCATACGTACCGAGTACTACATGTATGATAATTTGCATGCCATTGATGTGGACTTTGAGCTAATCCCTTAATCATTGAACCTCTCTTCCTGCTGACTCTGATTGTAATTTCTCTGATAACAAGTTTGGTGGGTAGCCTTACATTAGGTAGAAGGTTAGAAGTATTTTATTCTATGACGTGTCAGCAAATATCTTCAGGAAGAAGTCATTTACAAAGGTACTAATCCCTTCTCTGTTACTTACCCCACCTGGTGACTTGGCACACCTGTGCTGCTTCTATTGTTATCCCAAGATGAAACAGGAAGGTCAAGATTAACATGGACAGTTGTTGCCCTTTCTTCCATTGTCCCAGTTTTTGTCATACACAGTTTGTATCCGACACAGTTAAGATTTACTTTGTAGTACCAACCTAATGAATGTCTATAAAATTTTCAAATCCCCTCCCCTAAGAATGGAGAAAAAAAGGGAAAATGACTTAGGACCTTTCCACTGTACTATAATGAATAGTTATGTACTATATAAAATACAGAAGAACTTTTCTCATGTATTGTTTTTGTCTCTCTCCTTTGAACAGTTCTCCTCGTTGTTGGATGACAATGCCGGCTCCAAGTTTGACAACATCGGCATTGGGGCCCTGTCAAACAAGGACAATGCAGGTGAGTTTTAGGAGCAAATCTCCTGACTTGTGTGACAAACGATGGGGAAGATTGACAGGTACAGGTGTGAGCCACAGGTATACTGCACACCTGTGCAAGATTTGGATTGCTCCTTATGGACAAGACAACTCCTGTTCACTCTTAGATCCACCCTGTATTTAAAGTCACAAATTGTTGGATAGCTTGTGTTAACTTCTGTCTACATTCAGGGACAGTGTAGGGCCCTCTCACTCCCCTTGCAGTAATGTACAGTATTTTGTTCAAGATTTTTGCATGTTCCAGTACTTGCTGTGATACCTCAAATGTTGAATCACTTGAATGTTCCAAAAAACAAAAAATCTTGGACACAGAGCAGATTTCTTTGCAAGGGATGTAAAAGAAGCAACGTGCATCAGAACCAATGATTTACACAAAACTCTCAGGAACGTCAAACACTCCTCTATTTGGTAACCTTGGAGTAGATTCCTCTCCAAGGCTGTAGATACCATCAAGGTCAGGAACATTGTTATGCAGAGTTTGTGCAGATCTCTTGCAAAGTTTCCCAATGACACATACCTCATTACAAAACTCTTATCACATTCAATTTGATAGCATCAAAACAATTACAGAAGATAACATCTACCTGTGGATTACAGGTACAAGAACTTAATGAAATGTGTCTATAGTGCTGAGGAAAGGCATTCTATGAAAGGGAATAAATAATTGATATTTTGAACCCTCCTTGTGTATAGAGTGGCTGAAAAAAAAGCATTAAAGTGACCACTCCCAAATATGCAAATTAAGTATCTTTGTTGTCAAAAATATGCAAATGATATTGAAACTGTGCATTTGTACTGTATAAAGAAACAACTGTAGTTGAAGAGATGGTGTACAATGTTTCTCTGTTCCCTACAGATGCCAAGCAGTTGAAGTGGGAGGTTGCCAGGGACCAGTGGGTCAGGGGACAGAACTGGAAGGACAAGAAGAGAACTCGAGGGAAGGGTGCACCGGGGAAGGGGAGGGGGAAGAAACAAGGGAGCAAGCAGGGGAAAAGAAGAAGATAGATGATAAACTGCTTCTGTCGTTTACAAAACTTTTGTTCCTAAGTATTTCACTGAAATTTGATTGTATTGTTGGAATAGTGTATGATTTTGTATGACTGTATCAAAGTCCCATGTAAACAGTTTTTGAGACTGTACAGATAAAAATTAAAACTTGAATTACTGAAACATGCACTCACGAAGCCTTTTTCCTTGGAAGTTTGAGCTAGCTAGTAACAATTTAGTGTAGCTACATGTATGATGAAGAAGGTTTGGTAGAGGAGTCCTTGAAAGACCCCACTTGTGTATTCATGCCCTTATCAAGGACAAATATCATGGTAGATTCGTCCACATGCCAATGCACAAACTGTATACTTTACACTGAATCATACCATACACATATTTCAATGGACTTTATTACTATTCATCCCACAGTCATCCTATTAACTGACCAATCTTGAAATTCTTCATTATCAGTCCATTTACTAATGGATTTAAAATTAAAACCCTTTTAATTTCCGGTTCTTCAGCCAAGATGAAGCTAATGTGACATCTTTCTAAAGAATTTCTTATGATGGTTTTTGCAATATTACGATGAACATTCACCCAATTTCTCAGTTTTACTTGTACTGGGATATAGAAATTTCCAACTTCCAAAAATAGTTACACGTCCATCTCTCAGGCGTATTTTCCGTATCCCTGTGTGGATATTTTCCCTTGTGTTATGTGCGGCCATGGCAACAAGTTTCCCAAAGGAGAGGTGAATGAACGCATCACAATCCCCCCAACAGCTATAGGATATATCGGCATTTTCACAGCTGCCAGACTCCTTTATAATAAAACCAATAAACATCATCATTAGGCTTTTTTCTATGCAGCCTGCGGTTAACCCTAAAAGCTACAGGTTTAGCTACACCGAATGTTCTCGGCAGTTTTTCATTGAGATGTTTAAGAGGGGACGATTATGCTGAAAGCGTGTGATTGTACAATCGGGTGATGGTGCGGGTTACGGAGAGGGAAATATGATCCTGTGTGCGTGCATACCGTAATCCCCGCCGCTACACGCCGCCGCACGCACTCCGCGCCAATTCAACGTACGAACAATTGGAACAATTCATTATCGTACGCACCGAAGTTTATCTCCAGAGTGGAGTCTGGGAGTCATCAATCGGACTTAATCCCCGCCATGAAATTTTAATGCTGAGATAATTTTCCTTGATGTAAGTGGAGAAAGTTGGGGGATTCTGAGAAGAGAGTTTTGGAGGTATATATCGTCACGCGTAACGGGTATCATACAGGAACGGTGTAGCGTATACTCCCTGGTGTATACGTAGAGAGATTCTGGATACCGACAAATTCGTCAGGTGTACAGTAATCGTTTTTATGGCATTGGCGTTACTTTCTATCATCTACATACAGACCACCACGTTGTACTGCATTATCCAACTGTACAATATGTAATACACTTTAATTACGTCTTCAAAGACATCGTACCGCCATGTCCTTCGCAGCTCCTATTGAACTGGAAGGGGAAGGACGAGCAGGCATATGGGTGGCCCGGGTTTTAATATTACTTAATCCTACAATTGAGTCCAGCCACGAAATTGTCTGTCTGTGCGACAGCGATGTGTCCACAGGTAACGACACTGACACATTTGTTGTAGGTCGTCGTACGATTAAGATTCAGAGCAGGTTGTGACGGAACCAACCCCTCCGACAAGAAAGGCAGCCTTATCCCTGACAAGAAGAGCGGAGTTTTGTACGACTATCAAAAAATGTCATGTTATCAGTTTGCGATGGTACGACGATAGCGCGAGGAATACATGTGACTAATTATGATTTTACAACATCGAATTATCTTTAATGTAAATAGAACATTTACAGATCAAAGAAAACATGTAAATCTGAATATGAAATCTTTATCGAAGTGGCCAACCTTAAGGCACATTTTTTGTGGGAGGACGTCGGTGATGGGTGCTAGCCTATGACAGAACCAACCGCCGACAATTATCTACAACAATCGTTCCATCACAAGACAGCATGACTCATCAACGACTGTCCCAAGGAAATACGAGTGTGGTCGGACACTAACAAGGAGAACGGAATAGACTTGATCACATTATTATTGATGCCATACATTGTACCATGTACAACTGTCGAGCAATAAAGTCCATTCATTCATTCATAAAAATGTATCACGAACCAATTTAAACAACTTGTATTATACTATACAAGACTGGGGAAGTATATAGGTATACGTAATTTTGTTAAATCAAGATCTTAAAATTGGGAACTGTTAGTGTTACGAAAGAAAAATAGAGTAGATGTTGATTCGAATGCTAATGAATTAAGAGGTTATGATCCAAAATTATCGTACTTTGCTACTTGTTTGTATGGTAAAGAAACATGTCAAAATATGTAGATTCTTTTCCAGTCGCTATTGTTTCACACCTGTACCAACCGGCACATATATCCCCGTCTTGTTTTTATAATCATTTCGTAGTAATTAGTTTCCTTACACCATGATCTCCCCTATATTGTCTTTCTTTCCTTGCGCTCGAAAATCGTTGAAAGCAGATGTGTATTTGACCCAAAAGGCACTGACACAAGTAGTTTTGGTGGAATCTGTCACATTATGTATGACTGTCTAAATATAGTTCATTAATGCAAAGGTTCACACTTCTGTTGGCAGTTGATAGTTGTTTATGCGTTGCTAGCTTAGCTGCTGCTAGGTTGGGGTGAATGACCGACCTGAGAACTCGTCTATCAGGTGAGGGTTAGTGTTAGTTTAGACACAGTCACATTCGTCGAGCTATCTTCCTTTTTTCGTGTAGAATTTTCAGCGAAGCTATTTTAGAACTGATAATGTCAACAAGGCCACGGCAATATTTCTTTCACCTTTTAGATATCTAAATTTTTAACCTCCTTGACAGCCAGGACAGTTGAAGTTAGTACGTTACACCTTGGAGGAGGTTGATTCCATGCACGACTGTCCCAATAATGAATGAAAGACCTTAATTGTACGTTTATGCTCTCACGTCACAAGCTAAATACAGGTCATGAATAAACAGAGGAAAAGAATAATGCCTTCCAAAGCAAATGTACCCGCCGTCTTCATATCTATGCGGATCATAGGAGTAGCATTCCACTACCCTCAGGTATACGTACATGTCGTTTTGTACGTTTTTGTTACGTCTCGATTGTTTGTTATGATATATTGATGAGACGAGAAGCAAGGAGATGCAAATAAAGCTGTGAAACAACCAAACATCTGCTTGGATGGACCACACCGCTTCAACGGTATGTGACCCACCAGTACACGTGGACCTCGCGTATCACACAGTAATCTACTGACTTACGTATACGACACCGTAAATTATAACTTTTCATAATTCATGAACACGTTCCACGGTGATCTGGTTTTTGTCACCAAGATCGAATGTATCGATATGTCGGAAATGCCGACTGTCATCAAACATGATGTCAGGAGATGAGTATCTTTGTTTCAGCCGCTATCCTGAAATAGATACATGCAGTTGTATAATTTTCCCATTGTTGCCTGAATCATGAAGTCTGTAGTTGTTCTTTGACATCAGTACCACCAGACTCCTTTGACTGAGTCCCCCCAACTCACACGTGCACTTTCACACAAAGAAGTAGTGAAAATAGAAAAAGAAGAAAGAGGGAAAAGAGGAGGAGGAGGAATAAAGATGGCAGGAAAAACGAAAGAAAGAAGGAAAGAAAAAACAAGCATGTCAGCGGTTGTCCAACACACGTAACCACTGTAACCCCCTCTTGTCTCTGATTCCAGGTGTATACAGGCCTGTTCTTCCTGTTTAGAACCCAATAAACACCTGGTCGTGTCTCCCTTTACGACCAGCG